TTTAAGATTTCGTTGATCATCCCACTTATCAAAACCCCCCGATTCGTCCCACAGTTAGTGAACGACAAATCAACGTTTTCGTTGATTCGCGGCGAATATCAACAATTATTCGCGAACAACTTTTTTTTAAATACATAACGCCAGAACAACGTTAATATCAACGTTTTGCGCCAAACAACTGCGAATCAACGTTTTTGTATCTTTTTTTCTCTGCTCTGCCATTATATTTCTCTTCTTTTTTTCTGTTAATTTTCGTTCGTGTAGTCTCTCCTTTGGAATTTGCAATTTTCCATTTTTATAAATGTTCAGTCTTTTTTCTGTAATTTTTAGGGATTTTTCCACATATATTCTTACTAGATGGATGAATTTGAAAATGAATTAAGAGTCGCATTCGAAAGCGGCGATCTCGAAGAACCTGTGACACCGTCATCGAAACGTCGAAAATCCGATTTCCTTAAAGGATTAATCTAGGAAGTCCGAAGAGTAGACGATCATGGAATGAATGTTTGTACTTTCGTGTCTTCCAATTCCTGGAGACATTTCCAAAATCAGAAAAAATATATCTGATTTAGTCAACAAAAATCTTACCTATCTTGGGCTTGACATGTCAAAAATCGTTTTTATTACTGATGAGGGATCTAATGTAAGATAAAGAATCGTTTAAAGAAATTGTTAACAAATATTCTGGAAATCACACAGAGAGAATGGAACGAATTTTTTCCAAGCAAAATCTTTTTGAAGCTTATATTCAAACTGTTTCAATGTTGGAAGCACCTTTGAAAATACTTGAGGTAAAAAATAATATTGAAATTTAGAAAATTTAAATTTTAGGCCGAAAATAAATGTACAATGAACAGATTAATGATAGAAATGATCAAATTGGAAAATGCTTGGAGAGGAGAAGTAAGAGGAGATGATTTAGTCAGAGCAGCTTTAGCCAAAAGTGGATTCTGAATATGATTTACAAGTATGGTTTGATTGGATTCTTGAGAGAACAAGAGAATGTCGAAGTACTAAATTACTCAGGTCTGTATTTCATGAAGAATTTTTTAAGGTATTTAATAGGGTCGTTGGCGATTTTAAAAACCGAAAACCGGGGATACCGGTTGATAATCGGTTGCCAACAACCCTAGTATTTAAATTAATAAGTATAAGTAATATTTTTTTCAAGGCTGCATGGGATGTACAAATTATTTGTAAACCAAAACTTCGTCGTGATTATTCAAAAAGTTACAAACAGAAATTAAAAACGATGATTTGGCCGAGAAAGGACTAGATTTTGAGATGGAACAGTATGAAACTGGATGTAAGAATTTGGGAGGACATAAGCTAGATTTGCTAAAATTTTGGAAAGAAACTTCAAACAAAATTCCACTTCATTACAATCATTATTTAAAGATGGATAAAATTTTGTTGTTTTATATATTTTTTCAATTTTAATAAAAAAATTCCTACTCGTAAAATTCTTTTAAATTCCAAAGGAGAGACTACACGAACGAAAATTAACAGAAAAAAAGAAGAGAAATATAATGGCAGAGCAGAGAAAAAAAGATACAAAAACGTTGATTCGCAGTTGTTTGGCGCAAAACGTTGATATTAACGTTGTTCTGGCGTTATGTATTTAAAAAAAAGTTGTTCGCGAATAATTGTTGATATTATTAAATCAACTTTTTTTTCTTAAGAAAACGTTGATATGTCGTTCCCTATTCGTGACTCAGTTTTGTTTGTTTTTTAGCGGTTTTCGTAAATTTTGGAGGTTTAAAGTTTCATAAAATTAATTAAAATAATTAAAAGATTTAATTAACAAAAATGACACGAACTTGTCCTTTTTGTAATTCGTCAGAAATTGAAGAAGATGCGGGAAGAGGTGATGCAATCTGTACAGGTTGTGGAGCTGTTTTGGAAGAATCGAATATTATATCCGATGTTCAATTCCAAGAACGTGGGGGTGGACAAGAAGTTATTGGTGAATTTTTAATCGTTGTTTAATTGGATATTAAATTTCAACCTGATATAGGGAAAAATGGCTTCTCCCTATATGTCGTGTGTGGTGAAGTGGTTTAGGTCTGGGATGGATATTTAAAAGTTCATGGTTCGATCCTCTTCCTTGGTAATTATTTATGCAATAAAGCTTTAGACTCTTGCGTGGCTTTGTAAGGTATTCGCGAAATTTGAATCGGTTTTAATTTATTCTTAAGTTAGTTTGGATCTTATTGTTACTTTTTGGAGTTTAAGATGTTACACTTTAATTTTCTACTTTTTTTGTTTTCAAATTAATTCTTGTAGGTCAATTTGTTAGTAGAGATCGAGCTCAGCCCACCTGTCTTGGAGGAATTAATGGGCTCCCTCGAACGGAATCTCGAGAAACGACATTTCAACGAGGACGTAAACGTTTACAGGAGGTAATTTAATACTGAAGATTAATTTTATTTAATTATTTACATAACTTTTCAGTTTATTATTATTAAAATTAACCTTCTTTTTTAAAGGTCGCTAATCAACTTCGCATTAATCAACACTGTGTTGAACTTGCATTTGGCTTTTTCAAAATGTGTGTTACCAAAAAATTAACTAGAGGTAGACTTCGTTCTCATGTTGTTGTTGCTTGTTTGTACATGGCTTGTAGAAGTGAAAATACTTCTCATTTACTTTTGGATTTTAGTGATGCTACTCAGGTTTTTTTCAAAAGACTTTTTAACTTTTTTATAAATTTTCTCAGATCAACATTTTCGATCTCGGCCGAACACTTGGCTTTCTATCTCGATCTCTTTTTATAAAACTTCCTCCAACAGATCCTTGCATTTATGTTCTCCGATTTTCTGCAATGCTTGATTTTGGTGATAAACAAAAAGAAGTATTGAGTTCCTCTTAATATTTTTAATTTAAAATTTTTAAAAATAGATTGCCCTCTTAGCTACGCGTATTATTCAACGAATGAAACGCGATTGGATGTCCACTGGTCGTCGACCAACTGGAATTTGTGGTGCTGCGTTATTGTTAGCATCTAGAGCCTTTAATTTGAACAGGTAAGATGATTTTTAAATTACTTCCCGACAGTCTTGAAATTTTTCTAGGTCTGTAGCTGATATTGTCAATATTGTTCACGTGAGCCATGGCGTAGTCAAACGGCGTCTTGATGAATTTGCGAATACCCCTTCTGGTTTATTAACTATAGACGAATTTAACAACGTTGATTTGGAAGAAAGTGAAGACCCTCCTGCATTCCAAGAGTCAAAAAAGAAAATGATTGAAGAAGAAAAGCGAAAACGAGATGAAGAAAAAGCGGCGGATTCTGCCGTAAACGAGGTATGAAAAATTTTGGGATTAATGAAGGTTCTTTTATATACGCGCAGTCCTACTTTTTTTATTAATTCGCTCTCCCTTTAGTTTGAACCTTTACGTCGTGAATTTGAAGTAGAACTCCAAAAACGTCTCAAAAATTCCCCTTATGCAAAAATGATTGTTGGAAATATTGCTGATCAAGGAGTACCAGAATTGTCTAAAGCAAGTTGTATTTTGCGTGATGAGATGATGGACACTGTTTTTGAACTGGCAGAAGAACATTCGCCTTCCACAAGGTTGTTGAGAGTTTTTTTCGTCGTGCAAAAATCAAAAGTTATTCTTTTTTTATTTCCAGTTCCTATTCTGAATATGGCCCAACATTAGAATCACTTGGTTTAAAACCTTCTTATAGTCAACAAGTTGAAAGAAAAATAAATGAAACAATTAAATCAGATTCTAATAATACTGAAGGGGATGGAAATTTGGATCTTACAGGTTTTTTCTTTTTAATTTTTGATAAAAATATTTTAAAATTTTGAAGGAATTGATGATGATGAAATCGATTCTTATATTTTAACGGATACAGAAGCTTCAATTAAATCAAAATACTGGATGGCTCGTAATTCTGAACATTTACAATTGATGGCAGAAAAGTATGTTTTTATTTTAAATAAACTTTCAGAAATTTTTGTAACAAAATTTTTCGGGTCATTTTATTCGTATTTTAATTTTTCGAGATTTATTCTTAATGTAATTTCATGTAAAGTTGAAAATATTTTTGTTTCAAAATTTTTGCTAAAATTAAAAATGGACTAAAATAATCGCCATTTTGTATTTTCTGACTAAAGTCTCAAAAATTAAATTTATAATTTAATTTAAGGCGTAAAATAAAAGAAGAGGCACAGAATATCAAAAAAGAGAAAACCACTACTCAACCACAAAGAAAAAAACGTAAACCAAATGCAAATTCTGCACTCAAAAAAGAAGCAAGTGATCCGAATGAGGCAATGCTCCAAGTGATAAAGGTTTTTTTTAATTTATTTTAAAAAATATTTTAAAAATTAATTTTAGGAGAAAAACTTGTCAAATAAAATAAATTATGAGATTCTGAAAAAAATTGAAGAGGAGTTTTGATAAAAGATGGGTAAAATTGAAGTTCATATACCATCTTTTTCCTTAAAATTTAAAAATGGTCAGACATTGTTTTCTTCCCAAACCAAAAAAAAAGAAAGATGAAAAATTGTTTCATTGTTGTATGAGTTCATTTGAAGAAAGCACCGCATAAATAACCTAATTTGTACAACATCTTTTTGTTGTACAGCTCCAATTTCCGTAACATCTAATCTTGAATTTGCCTATCGATAGTTCGGTCCCACATTTATAACAAGTTCGCCGCTTTCCGTTTAGTCAAAGCTCTGCAAACCATACAAGTTGAGGAAGAGAGCAGTCTGAACATTTTTAAATTGAGGAAAAAGGGGTATACGAACTTCAATTTTACCATGTAATTAACCAAAACCTGTTGTTTTATATATTTAGTAGAAACATTGTTATAGATATAAAATAATTTTTAACATATTCTTGAATAAAATAAAAATTTAATCTTTAATGTTTATCAAAAAAATAAAGATGGCAACAAAAACAATAAAAAGCCATGAACAATTACCAGAAAATTGCTTAATAAAAATTTTTTGAGTATAAAAAAGAGAATTTCAATTATTTTATATTTCTTCCCTCTCATTTTGACTTATACCCGCCTGTTTTGCCAATTTAAAGAATAAAGAATCAGAATCCCTCAATAGAGCATTGGGTGAATCAAATTCAGCCACTTTACCAGCATCCATTACAAGTACACGATCATAATCAATAATTGTATTTAAACGATGAGCAATTGTTAACACCGTGCATTCTCTAAAATAAATTAGAATTTTCCTTTCAACAAAGATATATGGAAAGGAATTCCTATTATTGGGTTAAAAATTTGTTTAGAAAGAGATCCCCTGATAAAGCTTTCCTGACTTAATTTTCTTCACAAAATCAAAAACCAACTTAAAATGACTGCGTATAGATAGTTGAATGCGAGAATCTGTCTCTGGATCAATCGCCGCCGTTGCTTCATCGAGAACCAAAATACACGTTTTTTGTCTGAGAACAGCTCTTGCCATACAAACAAGTTGACGTTGACCAACACTTAAAAGAAAATTTATTCCTTTAATTAAATTTTTAAACCTTAAATTAGCTCCACTTTCAGCAACTTTGTAATCTAAACCTCCCTCGATTTCACGTATTGTCTCTGCAAGATGTGCTTTTTCTAGAGCTTCCCAAAGAGATGCATCTGTGTAATCATCAAATGGATCCAAATTTAAACGAAGAGTGCCACAAAAAAGAACAGGATCCTATAAAATTATTTAAATTTTATTTGAAGTGGCATTTCTCGAATAGAAAAAACTAGGATTCTTGCTAAATTTCGATTTAAATATAATTATAAGGTGATCAGATTATATCAAGTATAAATACCGAGGGTGTAGCTAATGTAAGAGGTAAATTTCAGAAGTGGGGGCTAAAATGGCGCGCGTCAAAATTTAGCCAGCCCCCCTCCCCAAAAATAAATATTATGACACTGGGACATTTATTCAGAAACAATATAAAAGCATTCTCAAAGTTCAATTAAATCTACCTGAGGTATTATAGTCAACGAACTACGTAAGTCATGCAAACCCAAAGTACAAATATCAATTCCATTAATTAAAATCTTGCCAGAGCAGGGATCAACAATTCGGAAGAGTGCCAAAGTTAGTGAAGACTTTCCTTTAAAGTAAAAAAAAATTAATTAGAATCATCTTTTTAATTCATTTTACCAGCTCCAGTACGTCCAACAATTCCAACTTTTTCTCCCGCCCGAACATCAAAGCTAACATTATTTAAAACCAAATCCAATTCGTTTCTATAACGCAAACAAACATCTTTAAATTGAAGATGCCCAGCACCAGATGGTGGCCAATTTCTAGATTCATCTATTGTATTCCATTCTGGCTCTCTTTCATTATTAATATATTCAGAAACTCTTTCAATGCAAACCATTTGAACTTCAGATTCACGCCAAACTCGAGCAATTTGTCCCAAATATCCAGTAAACTGAAATTTTCCAATTTATTAAGACATTCAAATTAAAAATATACAATATATCCATTGTTAATAACCATAGCCAAAACACCAAGAGATATCCATTTATAATCTGCCATTATAATAGCGACAAAAACGCAAATAAAAATAGCACAGTCACTTATAAAATCTAACCGGGATTGGAGCCATCTAGAAATAAAAATTTAAAAAATACAAGAAAAAAAAAGTAAAAAGCTTCAATTTTAATATTAAAAAGACCTGTTAGTATAAATTTCTGTAATAAGACTTTCATTCATAAAATCACAAATATAGACATTTTTGTCACGGAATCGCTCAACAACATTAAAAACACGAATAGAATCGGCGCCAGTATGAGAATCTTGAAAGAAAGAACAATTAGATGAAACTGCTTTGCTTGTTAGGCGACGAAAATGAACCGAGGCAACGTTGTAAAAATGCTTTAAAAATAAATTAAAAAAATTTTTTAAAATTAATAAAACTTACAATAATTCCCAAGAAAACTGTTAATAAAGGTACAACAACAAATACAAGAACAGGAATTACCACACAAATAGCAATTAATGAATTTAAAGCTTCAGCAAAAACGCTCATTGCATAAGACGTTGCCCAAGGAATATTTTCATCAATTCTAGCAATATCATAACTCAAACGATTCATTATTCTTCCCATTGGGGTTTGATCAAAGAATGCCATTGGACTGTGAAACAGAGAACTAACAAGTTTTCCGTGGAAATATGTACTTGCATTATAGGCACCAACTGTGAAATTTTTTTAGTTATTTTGAAAAACGAAAAGATCGAAAATTAAAATTTTTTAACTACCTGCTACAACGATGCTACAAATTGCGGAACTGATAACTAAAGAAAAGTATTTAAAAGAAAACAAAATTTTAAAATTACTAGAGATTAAATTAAAGCCTCCATAAATAAGCAAATGATTCAATGAATCAGCAGTATTGTTGATAGCAGCAGATGACCATTTTGCTAACCAAACACTAGACAAAGCCTCGGAAGTGCTGACACCAAAAAATGTGAAGAAAAAATAAATAATTGCCAAGAATATTCCGAATGAACGACAATAGACAAGATATACACGACGAGAAACCTGTTTAAAGAAAACCAATTAATTACTATAAATTTAATAATTTACAATTCCAGTTGCCAACTCTTCCTCTTTTGTTAATCGACCAATAACTTCTGTCCACTCTGGCCTATCTCCAGCATATGCGTTGTCACTAATATCTGATACACCTCCCTGTTGATGCATAGATTGATGAGAAGATTGATGTGACACCTAGCAAGAAAATAAGATGAATTAAGGTAAATCTGAATGGAAAGTCAGGTTGACTTATATCGCAATAATGGATCCATCATATAGCTAATTTTGAGTGTTATTCATGTCACAGATTTACAAGTTTGTTTAATCTGGCACGCGCTTCTCAAAAAATTTGTCAAAATGGTCTCTTTAAGAAATTAAATACCCGTGTTTCTGAAGGTTTTGCTTTAGATTCTTCCGTCTTCACCATCTCTTTCGGTTGTTGATTTTCAGAACTCGCTAATTGTTGCTCAAGAATTCTACGACGTTCAAGCAACGACTCACTGAGGGGAGATCCAGATAACTGCCCGAGTACTTCACTTAATTCCGAATCTTCTTCATCATCAAGAGTTACTAAAGAATATTTGTAAACATTTAATTAAAGCATTTTTATATTAATAACCTTCCAATGTGCTCGACTTTTTGCTTCTTTGGCTCTCTAACTTTTTCTCCATAAATTCCCTTATTAAATCAGCAAAAGGTCCTTCTTTTTGTTCAGATAACTGTCTTAATGTACCAACATCATATATTTCTCCCTCTAAATTAAACAAAAAATAATTTATTCAAAAAGTTTTTCTTACTATCCATGACGACGATCCGTGTACAATATTGAAGGAAAGCCAACGAATTTAGCGCCCATAAACGAGTTTTATTTGCAAGAAGTCCTAATAAATATCACATACAAATAAATAATTTCAAAAATAACCTTTTTCCCCAATCACATTTGCAAAAATAGCTGCCCCAACGTGTGCATCAACAGCAGAGAGTGTATCATCCAAAACATATAGTTCTGCATCCATATAGACAGCACGAGCCAAGGCAACACGCGCCTTTTGGCCGCCAGATAAATTTATCCCCTAAAATGAAAAAAGTTTTTTTCCAAGAAACGAGCCATATAGCGAAAATCAAAAAAATTTTACCTTTTCTCCAATTTCAGTAAAGTCACCAGCCTGCAATAATTTCAAGTCTTCACCCATCGAACAAGCGTTAATAACAGATGTATATTTGCTCTCATTAAATGGGGAATCAAAAAGAACATTGCTTCGAAGAGTTTTGTTTTGAATCCAAGGTTGCTGAGGTACATAACCAATAGATTTCGCTCTAACAATTGCCTCTCCTTTATCTTCCATTCGCTCCATTTCTCCAAGGATTGCAGAAAGAAGAGAAGATTTTCCTGAACCAACACGGCCAACAACTCCAATCAGTTCTCCAGGTTGAATCTCCAAGGAAATATTTTTTAGTTGTAAATTTGGATCTGGGACATTTACACCGGTCCAGCTAAATGAGCAGTCACGAAGAGAAACTAAAAAATTATTACAGTTAAAACCCGTCAAAAAGCCTCGTAGATATAAAACTTATTTTAAAGGACTAACCAATTGGGAGCGCCGGATCTTGAGCTTCTCGTAAAATATGGCTTTGCTGCATCTCTTCCGCGTTTAAAAATTCAACCAAACGTCTGGAACTCACCCAGGCCTTAATTGAGTCTGTCAAAAGTCGTGGAAGCATATAAATTGAGATACGCAACATTCCAAAAAATAAAAGAGAAACGAATGCAACATCTTTAGAAATTGTATTTTAAAATTAATTTAATTGAACCAAACCTGGACGCAAAGGATTTCCTTGAATAACTGTATAACCATAGAAACTGATAAGAGTAGCCTTAAAAACGGAAATATTTACATATCGAGATGATAATTTCGAATCAATAAATTAAAAAATAATGAAACTCGTTAATTTACAGGCTGGTAGCCGTGAGAATGGGGTGTCCATCCCGATGTCTGACACCCGAAATATAGTTTAGAATAAAAATTTTTAAAATGAATTTAAGAAGATTCGAAAAATATTCAAAATTTAAAACATACAACAAGCGGTGCAAGTTGAAATGAGACATTAATTCCAGCATCCATCAAAAATACTTGTCGTAACACATATAATTCTCTTTTACGAAGTTTAGCAATCAGTTGTTCCATAGATTCTTCCCAAGCATATAATTTTAATACTCTCATTCCACTCAAAACATCATTAATTAATTTTAGACGTTCATCTTTGATTTTCAAAAGTTTATCCTAAAACTTTTCATTACAAAAAAGATATTTAAAAAATACCTCCAAGCGAGTACTGATTTTAGTTAAAGCATAATTGACAGGAAAAACAACGACAAGTATTACAACCCCATAAAAAGCATTAACGCCAAGTTCCATGTAAAGACCGAAAAAAGCAATTATAAGCTGAAAATTCATTTAAGTTTTTTAAAATTATTATAAAAATAAAACCGTTAATGGGCAATTGATAAAATAACAGACATCGAAGAAAATAGAACGAATATGATAAACGTCATTATTTAAATAATTCTGAATTTCCCCAACAGAATATTTTATTTTGCTTGATGGTGAAAGGCGAATCATCTGTTTAAAAATTAGAAAAATTATACAGTGGGGTGCAAAAGTAATGACTCATGGGCCGCGCAAAGTAATTTAGTACTATAACTTTTTAGAAAATGGTCCAAATGAAACTGATAATGGATGAAAATATTCCCCAAAGTGTCAGCTTCAAATATATATAAAACTTGGCTAAAATTAATTTCAAATGTGAAAGTTAAAAATTTTCAAACGAAACCACCTCAATTTTAGCTGGTGCAAAAGTATTACTAAACAAAAGAAAATTAGGGCCGAAAATTAAATTATTAGAAAGCCAAAAGCTTCGAAAACTGCCTTAATGAAAAACTTGTCCTAAACACGTTAAACATGTTAAAAAATGATTAAAAACCTTATCAAAAATAACAGATGTTAATATCGAACGAAGATTCAAATAAGCACGAAATGATGCAAAATCTCTTCTGACAGTAATCAGCTTGTCACCGAAATCGGTAAAGAACAAAAATACCATAAAAGTTAAAGAAAGCCAAACTGGATTTCCTGCTGTTACTGAAAGAACAATCAATCTAAAAACCAGCTTAAATTTGTAAATTCTATTAAAAACCTAAGAAATATAGCATTTGCATAATTTCCAAGAACAACAAAAACTGCCGCTATAACACACAAGCAATTCCATTCCCAAACACAAAGAAAACAGCGGAAGAGAAACAAAGCTGGATTGAGTTTTCGTCCTGCACATACTCGTTGAAGTCGGTGCCATCGACTGCGCAAATATCCTGCTTGAAAGCTTAAAAGAAAATTATATTTAAAATTTAGAATAATTTTTGAAAATTTAAAGAAATTAATTCGTCTTGAAAAATAAGATTAAATTTAAAAACCATTTATCCAAAATCCAAAGATCATCAAAATCAACAGATCCACGTAAACCTCGCCAAATCATTTGTCCAGTATACCAAAAGAAAAGACAATTGAGTGCAGAAGATGAATTTTCTGGGCATCGTTTCTTCTCCTTTCGCCCTTCTTGACCATCTAAACGTTGGTATTGGGCATCAGTTGAAGTTGTCGAATCCGCCCAGCAAAGCAAGAAAGTCATAAAAGTAGCCAACAAAAATTGACTTAATGAGCAATAATTTGAAGGGACTTCGTTAAACAATCTTTGAGTATTTGCAAATGAAAGAACAGTATCGGGGATGAGTGAAATGAAGCGTAGAGCCCACGCCAAATGTAAAAAACCGCTGCTAACAACTCCTAAACAAATACATTGTCCATACACAATTAGCAGACAAAAAGTTATAGCTAAACCAATAAAAACAGAATTTTGCTGCTAAAAATAAAAAGTAAATAAATTATAAAAATTTAATTGAACCTCAGGTAGAACGGGTGAAGGCCCTAAATAATCGGGCCAAGCAAAAAGTAAAACAACATCCACCAAAGAAACAAGGGCGGCGAAAAATGAAATCAACTAAAAGAAAAAAATATTTAGAAAAATAAAATGTGGTAATATTGACCGGACAGACCCCTTTTTCCTGCCCAATTTTCCCCATATATTTTTGCAAAATAGTCAGACTTTTTCCTTCCCTCCAAATTTCAGTTTCAAGTGCAAGTACATGCCAAAAACAAGTAGTAAAAGGAGGAAAGTATAGGGGAAAAATTGTGGAGAAAAAAGGAATCTGTCCGCTTCAATCCTACCTAAAATGTGAAAGAAAAAAATAAAACCCCGAAACGATAAAATCGAGAATTCAAACTAAAAATACAAACCGTCTTTAAAACAACCAGCTTTCCAATATACAACCGACATCCATTAAGCGTTTCTCTAAAGAAAAAATTCTGGACACACAAAGCAATAAAAGCTGTTAAAGCCATCACAATAGGCAAAGAAGGAATCAAAACTTTTGCCAAACATGGTGAAACTATTTGCTCAAAAGTAGAGTTTGGAGAGATTGGAAGCTAAAAAAACAAAATTCAAGAAAGAAAAACTAAAAAACATACAACTGCAGGTGTAGAACAAAGTTCAGTTCTCGATATTAAAAGATTGATACTTGTAAGATGTGGCAAAGACATTTTTTAAATACTGAAAATTAAATTAAAAAATTTTAGAAAATGATTCTCCTAAGAAAAGTCGGGCATGCCAAAGAGGTTAGAAAATGAAATTATGTTACGATAGAAACATAAAACAATAAGTTTAAGAATGGGATACTAATATCTGCTTTTAGATATTATAAATTCTTTAATTTAGTACATATTTAATTCTATTACCTAAAGATGATGAAATACTAGTAATTGTTTAGGTCCTTAAAAAATGTCAGGAGAATTAAATTTTCTAAAAACATTTCACAATAAACATAGTATAAGTAAACAATAATTTATTATTTATTTACAAAGATCGTCTAGGCAACAAAGAGAGAGAAGGGAATGTAAACCGAATGGAAAAATTAAAATTGATAAATTTACCCATCAATAAAAAACAAAAATTTTTGATTAAAGAAAAATCTTTTTTTTTATTTAATTTAAAGCAAACTTATAGTTAGCTTTTAATCAATAAGATATAAATAAATAAATGATGACTAAAAATAACAAATCTGGAATAAAACAAAAATGTGTAAAAATAAGCAATATTTATTTAAAATAAGTTTTTAAAAAGCTTTAAAAAAATAAGTAAGCAAAGTAACAAAAAACGGGTAAATGACTATATTTTAAGATGAAAAAAGGGGCAGTTTTATACTCCAAAATTAATTCTTTTTTGATTTATATGTATAGTTATTAAAAGGGGAATTGGGAAGAAACAAAAGGCTAGCAAATCAATTTTTTCCTAACATATTTTTAACTTCTTTATCATATTGCCTTAAGAGAACATTCAAATATTAAAAAGCTTGGAAAAACTTGACTGACCAGACAACTTACCTAATTACTAGAGTTCGGTAGATGGTGTTTTCGGTGACGGTAACACCGAAATTTATCGATACTGAAAATTTCAACGGTTCTACCGTACCGTGCCGAACACCGCCAATTACTAGCGACTACAAATTGGTGCTAAATTTTTCCTGGAAATTATGTATTTTGAAAAATTCTGACTGATTTATAAAATATTTTTACAAAATAAACTTCGAAAACTAAACAATTTAGACATAATAAGCTCCATTCCAAACCAAAGAATTTTTAATTTCTTCATTACATCCTTCCAATTGATAAGGGCAATGTCTACATCCATTTCCACAACATCTTCCATCATATAAATGTTTGGAAATTGTGTCAATAATAAAACCAGTAAAAGGACATTTATACCTTAAAATTATTTAACGTGAGAATTTTTTAATTAAAAAATGAGGTTCTCCTTAAAAGGGATTTCAGTTTGTGTGACGCATCTTTTTCTCAATTTTTCATCTCACTACAAAACGTGAAAAAAGTGCTTTCTCGATATGTAGAAGTGTGCCAGTAGGTAATTAATTGTGCTGAATTCGAATATGAGATCAAATTTTACTTATTTCGAATCCCGGATACGAATTTGTGATCGAAGAGACGTTAGCCATAAAATTTTAATTTCTAAGCCGAATTCGACCTGGTTTAATTCGTATCTAGAATTCGAAATAAGTACTAAAGTTTTACCTCATATTCAAACTCATCACGCTTAATGACCTACTAGCAAACTTTTAAACTATCAAAAAAGCACTCCTTCGTCACCTTTTCTAGGGTAATGAAAAAATGAAAAAAACGCGTCACACAAACCGAAATTTTACAGGGATTTCCCCAGCAGTCATTTAATAATTTTCGAATCTGTCTGTTTAGTATCATTCTAGTCGACTGACAAATTGGATAAAATATTTGATTTTATATGAAGGGGTAGTTAACATTAACGAGGATATAGGAAAAGTTAAGAGAGCCGAGTCCGAACACTTACAGAAAACGGTATTCTTGATTCAAATTTCTAGATAGTAATTTGATCGGTTAGTGTTTTACCCCAAGCTGTTGTCCCTCTTTTCCCCAACCAAAAATTCCAACTTGGAATAATTAAAAAAACTAACCATAATTTCCTCTCTTCAATAGCCTTAAAATGTTTAATATAAATAGTTCTTTCTTCACTAGTCATTTTATTATAACAAAGCCATGGAACTCTCTGCCTTTTCATTGTTTCTTCAAAAAGTACATAATCAGCAAGAAGTTCTCCTTTTGGGCCAGGAATTAATGAATAAATTGGACGTCCAATTCCTCTACTTGGAGCAAAATGGGTTGGGAAAGAATTTTCTTTATCAAGTTTAATTATTTGCTTTGATTGTTGTATAGCTTCTAAGGAAATAATTTTTTAATTTTTAAAATCTGATAAAGATTTTAACCTTCTTGAACTGCAGCAGTTGACGCATTTTTGAATTTATTTAATTTTAGAGGTGATTTAGAAAGATAAATAATTCTTTTAAATAACATTTAAACTGATTAGATCTCTTAAAATCACAAAAAATCAACCAATATTCTCAAAAAAAATCTTTTCAAATTTTAATTAAAAACAGAATGCCAAAAATAATTAAGAGTTCCGTTAAATCAGAGAAAAATAAATTAGACACAAAGAAAAGTTGAGAGGTCATCATTCATTATAATTTTTAGAAATTGATCGTTTACTTTGGAATTTTTTAGGCTCTTTTTACTATGATTAATTTTTTCTGATTGTAATCTTTTTTCCCTTCAATCGTTTGAATCTAAAATAGAAAATTATTTTTTAACAATTTTTTCTCGTTTAATTGTGGGTTAAAAAAATATTTTTTTCAAAGACTTTTTTTTGAATAATTTTTGATATTTTCAGATATTTTGTAATGCAACGTTCATGCCCTTATTGCAATTCTTTATTTTCTTCAAAATATTCTGGAGGAAAACTTAACAATAATTCTGAATTTGGATTTTCTTGTTCAAACTGTGGCGCTATTTTGGAGGAAGATGAGGAGGAAAAACAGGCAAATTTAGAAGATAGAACAAATTTGGATTATGATGGGGACGATGCTTTGACAAATGGTTAGTTTATTTTTAAATTTATTTTTTAACCTGAAAAGTGTCTCATAATTCTCATTTTTTTGACAAAATTAATTTTTAGTATTTTTATAAGACATTTAAAGATATAAATTATAAAAAATCTGATTTTGATTAAAATTCTCGGTAGGAGAACTTTCGGTAAATGAAAATCCTTTTTCTGTCAAAAATCATATCTGGGCACTTTTCGGGTGTTTTTAATTTTAAACTTTTTGCTTTAATTATAATTATGTATGTAAAAACCTTGGATTTCCATTAAACTAACTTAAATCTAAAAAATATTTTTAATTTTAAAAATAATTTTTTGACAGTCATTTCTTTAATTCTGTCAAAGAACATATACTAATATTTTTATTTCTATTCTTACTGATTTTTTTATCTCTTAATTCAATTTTTTAATTAAGAGATACATAGATTCGACATTTTTATTTTCCCAATTATTCATATTTTTTTGTTTATTTTTTTGTTTCATATATTTTTTGTTTCAATTTTCTGACAGTGGGAAAATATGCAAAACTTTTTATTTTCTTTAAATTATTTCCAAAATAATTTACAAAAATTTTCCAAATTATTTTCATTGATTACTTAAATGTTCCTCATATTTTTTTAAAAACCTTTTAAATATTTTATTTTCTTTGCTTTCCCTGTTTTTGTTGTTTATTTTAAAATATTCTCTAATGAGAGTTTTGGTGTCAACAAAAATTCTTTTTGTTATTGTCTTTTTAACTCTTCCAGTCACGAATTTTTTACATCCGTTTTTTTGGAAATTGGGGAGAAGTGGGGATTGGGTTTTGGAATATTTTCAACATTGTTTTTTGAAACAACAATAGAAAGTAAAAATGAGGGAGGAGGAAAATCAAAAGCTTTGGGTGCTTTTTTATTTTAAACTTTTTTCTAAGTTTTTAATTTTTTAACAAAAATTTTATTTATAAACAAAAAATTAAATTGTTTGACTTAATACTTAAATAGGTCTTTCGATGGTTGTTATAGCTTAAGGTTATAGATTAAGGTTGTTTTCGACTCTGCTCTACACGATGGTGCAAAAATAAATACAAAATTTTCACATACAGTTCGGGATGTTCCCTTGTTAGGAAATCACTTTTTATTTTATGTTCTCATCGATGCCCTTTCTTAAAAGTTTTTCTTCTCATTTACTTTTTAATCTCCTCTTTGCTCTTAAATATTTTTAATAGACTTTTAGTATAATAAATCCACTTTAGGCGCATTAAAAATTTAAATTAACTAGGATTATTGGATAGGATTGAGGCTTTCTTGCTGCATAATGCAAAATTATTTTAATTATATTTGTGTAATGGAAAACTTTAACTCATAATAATGCCTTTAATATTTGACTTTGGGAAAAGGCCACACGCATTTTGAATATTAAGTGAATCTTTAAGTAAATTTGTCTTTGAAAGGATATTTTCTTGAATTTATTTGTTAATACACAAAGACAAATAATTCTTTTTTAGTAAACTTTTAATTTGTCAATTCATCTTCATATATTTTTATTAATATTTAAAATATTTCCTTTAAAAAATAAATACCCTCAAAATGTCTCTCAACAATAAAATTATTTATCCAAATAAAAATATCCAAACATATTCACCTCCTTTAACATCTCAAAATCAACATCCTTCATTAATTCATCAAAAAAGTTTTGCTTCAATTCGTCAATTTGTTCTTTCAAATAATTATTTTAAACAACAAAAAGAAGAACAAAATCAAAAATTTCCTCGTTTTTCTTCTATTAGAAGACGAAAGAAAATTTTAGATGAGGAAAATGGCAACAAAAATGGAAAAATTAAAAGAATTCCTTCTGTCAGAAAAGTTGGCGTTTGCCATGGAAAGAGCAATAATCTTGATTGGCGTTCAAAAAGTGTTGCTGGTCTTAAATCTACTAATACAGCTACCAATAAGTTGTTATTAAAATTAATTTTTAAGTGATTTCTTTTTTGGTTGTTGACCATCCCTAATTCCGATACGATCGGACATGAAGAATTTTTCTTTAAAATTATTTTTTCCCGACTTTGATTCCTTATCGAGAACCAACTTTTTAAATCTAACAAAAATAATACAAGCTTTATATTTAATAAATTGTAAGAACTCCAATTGCCGAACAACGCAAATATTCATTAACTCTTATTTCACAAAAAGCAAAAAAGTCAATGCAACGCAAGTTAAGTGAATTAGCCAAAAACGATTCCAATTTTGTTACTCAAACAATTGGAAGAATAGTTCAACAACAAACTTCTTTAGATAAACAACAAAATTGTGAACATAAAAGTGGGTAATTTAATTGAGTTGGTAGATTTAACTATTTTTCCGAAATATGTTTTATTTTGCTATTAAATTATTTGGGGAGGGGGGGGGGGGTTGTTGTGGGTATTTTAATTTATACAATTTTTTCGAAATTTTATGTCTACTTGATATTTCAATTTTTACATTTTTTCTTTTTATCTTTAGTTCAATTTCTTTTATTACAATTTTTTGTTTTTTTTAATTCGTATACATCATTTTTAAATTAATTTCATTTTTTAAACTATTTTTCTATCCTTATTATTTTAAAAATTTGTTTTTGACAATAAAAATTAAAAATGAGTCAATTTATTTAATAAATAATAAATAAAAGATCCAGGAAACCAAATAAAAAATAGACAGGAAGGAACTCACACAAAACAGTAAAATAGTCAAGGATTCTTTATTTTTTTAAATACAATTAATATTCTTTTTAATTTTTTATCAAGAAAATTTTCTATTGCTCAATGTCCTTTGGGGGATTATTAATTTTTCTGTTAATTTTCGTTACAGTTAAGAATTTAATTTTAGATTTTCTTTTTCTTATTTTCTTGTTGCATGACACGTTAAAAATTATGTTTAACCTTATTCTCGTGACCACCACAAACTTAAATTTATTTTTACTTTTCTCCCACTTTATTAACTTTAGTTTTTCTTTTTTTAATTTATTATTTTTATTTTTAAATAAATTGTTCCATAAATTTTATATCTTCGCTTCATTTATTTTTCTTTATCCACATATTTGTTCATTTATTATTTCCGCTTATGAACAATTCAGGAACTTTTCTTTAAGGGGTTTTTCTTATGAATTCAAGTTTGATTTTTACGTATACAATTTGGAAATAATTTTTAATAATTAAAAATTATTTTTTTCTAAACATTTTTATGTGTTTTTTAATTAATTTATTAACGTGTTTATTTAGTTTCTCTATATTTTTCACTTAATATTTTTATCATTTTCAAAAAAATGTGAAGAAACCCCTCATTTTTTACATTAAAAATCGTGTTACTTTTTTTTCTAATATTTAAGGAATGAAAATATACTTGACAGAATATTATTTTTGTGGGGATATTGATAAAATTGAGGGATTAAATACTTAAATATTTTTTTAAATTATTTAAATACACAGGCGCGCGACTTAAAAGCGACTAAATAAATTATAAAAAAAAGTCAATTGATTGAATAAATGAAGCTATATAATTGTAAATGCTTACTTAATAAGTATTAAATGTTGTTAGGCCATATTTGTAATTTTAACGTTAAATGTGCTCGCGCAACTAAAAACTCTTCTCTCTCTTTTTTTCCTTTGGGATTAAATGTGAGTGCTTCTATTATTTTAACTTTACGAGATTTTCTTTTTAATATTTTTTTCTTGTTGACAGTTTTATTTAAAACTTTTATTTTTTAATTTGTTTTAATCTCGACTTTCTTTTTTATCCAAGAGACTCGGAAAGTGCCGTAAAAGGTGTACAGGGGATATTTGTTCGTTTATTTTAAAATACAGTATTTTAGTTCAAAATTTGTTAAAACTACATACTACTTTTTTGATACATACTACTCTTATAGTTTCTTATATTCAGAATTATAATTTGATTTCCTCCTAAATTTATGCGCAAGTTTTTTCTCCATATTTTTTCGAATATTTAAACTAAATACTGGATTCTTACAAAAAACTAATTTCCTTAATTTTAATTTTTTTTTAAATTAATTTAGCGGAAATAATATGTATGTAGTATATGCCCCTAATAAATAAATATTGGGAGAACATCAAAGAACTGATGACCATGAATAAAAAAAGAAGCACCAAACAAAAACGGTTGGCGCCAAACTAATAATAAAAAGAGGAAAAGGTGCGCTTTTTGTTTGGTGCTTCTCTCTTCCCCTTTTTGTTTTTTTTCTTTTCTATATGTATTTTTCACACCTTTTTGTCGGCATCAATAACATTATTTTTATTTCCTTTTCTAAAAACAACACCACTTTTTTGCGTTTCGTTTTTGTGTTACTCATTACCTTTTTCATTGTTTCCGACTAATTTTTTGCATGGATGAAGGAAATGAATTATATATACCGTATTCCCTCTAATAGTACTGCCTGCATTACAGGAATACGATATTTATTTAATGACCCTGCCGACAAAAAATTAAATTATAATTCTAATTTTGACGGAGAAATCCCTGGATTTTTTTAAATTTAATACAGATGATCTCTACTAAAAATAATATTTTTAATTTTAATTCCTTATCCAAAATTATAATTTAAATTTATAGTCTCCATATTTTTTATTCCTTTACTATTTATATTTTAAAATAATTTTTATTTTCTTTAATATTATTCTATTTTTGTCATATTTTTAAATTTAATTCTATTTTGAACATTTAAACTTTCTTATTAAATATTTTCTTTATTTTACTTATATATTTTCATAATTTCCCGCTGCTTTAGTCTCTTCTTAATCGTTTTATTTGTCCTTTTTACCTCCTCTTTACATACATTTTTAATTGGCATTCATTCTGCAAAACTTTTTTAAATGGCTGCAAAAACACTCAATTTTCCCTCAACAATTTTTCGGTTCCTCTCTCGCATCGCTTTTCCCATGCCACCAATTTATTCCTTCTACTTTGTTTGTACTAATTAACATTTCCGTTGTTCTGACTAAAAAATTCTTTCTTTATTTTTTTTTATTTTTTAATAAAAATTGATTATTTTTAGGCCTCTAAATAGAGAATTTCTGATTTTTTTGGATAATTTTTTGACTTTTAGAGTAATATTTCCTTAATATTTTAAGGATTTTAATTAAAAAGAAGCCTTAAAATAAGCATAAGCATGGTTGAACGATTACCCAGATTAAATTTTTGAAATAAAATAAAAATTATATTTAAATAAAAAATTTCCTCTTTTGTCTTTAATTTATTTAAATAATTTATTTAAAGTTTTATTTAATGTCATTTCTCTCATAAATTTTTTAAACAAAAGCTTAAACAAAAAAGGTTTTCCACACTTTTAGAATTTTAAATAAATTTAATAAAATTCACATGGCACGGCATAAATTTAACTTTATGAATTTTTGATTTTTCTATAGCGTTTCCATGCCTTCAAATAAATTTTTAAATAAAATATTGAGCTTTTTTTCAATTTTATTAGAATTTACAGTTTTTTTTCTCACGCCACACTCTGCTCACGCTTTCAATTCCTTTCTCTTTACCGTCTCGGATTTCATACTAATAAATATTAACAATTTTTGAGTTGTAAGGGATTGGCTTTAAAAATTATATTTTATGGGGAAAATGAAGCCTTTTACTATACGATTTTTATTTTTTTTAAAATATTATTTTTAAATTTTTAAAATAATTTTTAATTTACTCTAAGCCTTACTAACCAATCAACGAGTAAAATTTTTTAAATTCCTAAATTTTAAACATTACTTGGGGAAATTATGTAGTTTGAATTAATGTTGTAACAAACAACCTTATTTGTTTGTTACTACATATTTTAAATTTAAAAATCTTTCAATGCACGAGTTTTTTATTTATTAGATAACATTTTTAATTGATTTTTTTTTACATTTTAATTATTTTTTGCCTATTTTTATCATTATTTTAAAAGATTTATTTAATTATTTAAATACAGGAATTATTTTCCTATTAATTCCCTCTCCCTTAAAAATGCCCAATAAATCTGTACGTGTTTCTCGTCCCTATTGGGAATCCTCACCCTCAATCTCTTCTCAACTTGCTCATCGGCGTATATTTATTGCCAAAAACGATTCCTGTCCTCCACAAACAACAGCATCTTCCTCTCAAAATGGAACAATAAATGAGGTGGCAACAAACAACAATAATAATTTAATTAAGAAAATCATCCACAACGACAACGAAAGGAAAGGGAGCATTTCAAGAATAGCTACAGGAAATATTTCTTTTACATCTGCATCAATTACTAGAAGAGAATTATTATTAACACAATTTCCAGCTAATCCATATCACAATGGGGGCAGATTACTTCTAAAACGAGACAGTGAATTGGGGCGTAGTTTGGAAAGTGTTTGCAGCGGGGCTTCTTTGAAAACAAAACCTTTTGGTAATAAAGCATCTGGCTTTGTTTCAAATTCTCGGAAAAAGTCTGCGAGAGAAGAAAAAACATCTGGATTAAATTCAAGGAATGGCAGTGCAAAGTCTTATGAACGAAATCATAGTTGTATTGGATACCAAACGGTACTCAATTAATTGCTAAACAGTTTTTCTCACATTCCTCAACTTGGATGTTGAGTAGAGATTAAATTAAAAATAAAAAACTATTTTTGATTTCAAATTCTCAAAAAAAAACTTTTAAAAAATTCTCTCATTAGCGTACCTCTTTTCATCAAAAGATTCAAGTGCAAGGAACACTCAGTGAACCTTTAAACGCCCCAGAAATGGATAAACAACGTTGTTTAAATATTTCTTCACCGCCGGCTACGGAAAGAACAGCAAATGGAGGAGATGAAACTTTTAATCGTTCTACTTCAATTAGACGTTGTATTTCATCGATTTCGAAACGTTTCAAGAAATCACCATTTGAAGAATTTACTCCGCCTGTTCTTCAAAATCAATCAGAAAATAATTGTATATTTAATTAGACTATAAAACTTTGTTTTTTCTTTTTTATTTTTTAAATAATTAATGGTAATCCAAGGTTTTTCAAGCAAATTATTTCGTGTTTTCTCAAAAAAATATAAATTTTTATTTTTAGATGAAGCCGACCCCCACGCACTAATACCCTCTACAAGCGATGATTCCCTCGACAACGACCCAGAATTTCTAGAATTACAAGAACGTGAACAAATTGTGGATAAATACGAAAGAGTAATTAATTTTAGATATTTTGTTTGAAATAATTTGTTTATTTAAGGGTCCTGAACAAAAAGATGTTGACCCTTGGGAAAACCCAAATTTTGAACTTTACAGGATAACAGACAGATATGGATTTGTTCAGTCAGTTTCTTTTAAACTTTCAAATAATCCAATCAATTTCTTTTCAGCAAAGATGAAAAATTCTCGGCAGATGAAGCCGAGAAGAAACGAATAAAGAAGGAACTTAGAAGGGAAGATAAATGGGTAATTATGTTTAAAGAATGGGAACATCTACGTCCATCTAAATTACCTGAAAGAATTTGGAAAGGAGTTCCAGACAAATTTCGACTTTTAGTAAATAATTTTTTGGTACTTTATGGATATGTCACCCCCCCTCCTATTTTGAGTCTCAGTTTTCCTTAAACGTAAAAAATGGTCAGAGATTATTTTCTTCTCCATGTCAATCATTTTTTTCTTCTTCAAGTATTTTGCTTGTTTATTTTTCCTTTTCACATATTTTTTACTTACATTTCACTCATTTCGTTTCTACATTTACCACATTTCATTTGTTTGCTTGAAAAAAGAAAAATAATTGACATGGAGAAGAAAATAATCGCTGACCATTTTCTACGTTTAAGGAAAACTCTGAGACTCAAAATAGGAGGGGGGTGACATATCCATAAAGTACCAATTTTTTTTAAATTTAAAAATTAATTTTTAAAAAAGGTCTGGATGCGCCTTTTGGGGGCAAACGAACTTAAAGCAAAGGCACGAACTAATTTATATAATGATTTGTTAATTCGTGCACGTCTTGTTTCCAAAGACATTAAACAGATTGATTTGGATATTAATAGAACATATAGAGACAATTTGGCATTTAGAAGGAGATATGACGTGAAGTAATTTAATTTTTTGAGTAAATTTTATTTAAAATTATTTTTAAGGCAACAATCTTTATTTAATTTACTCACTGCATATTCTATGTTAAATACAGAAGTTGGTTATTGCCAAGGTAAATTTTGTTAAAATTCAATACCCATTAGGGCTGAAAATTCGTAATTAAAAATAGAGTGTTTAAATTGATGGGATTGATTGATTGTGCAGGGGCAAACGAACTCAAAGCTTCATTCACCCACACATTTTCTTTCCGAATTTTTAAAAATCATCTAAAATCGAGGATTTAACTGTAATTTAAATTTAAGGAATGAGTCAAATTGCGGCTGTTTTTCTCATGTATATGGACGAGGAAGATGCTTTTTGGTGTATGCATGCACTTTTAGTTACAAGAAAATATACAATGCATGGTTAGAAAATTTTTAAAAATTATTTTAACTTTATTTTTAAAGGTTTTTTTGTTCCTGGATTTCCAAAACTTCATCGCTTCCAAAATCATTATGACAAAGTTTTGCTCAAATATTTGCCAAGAGTTAGGAAACATTTGGTTTGTTTTTTAATTTTTTCTAAAAATTATTTTTTAAAGGACCAAACAGGCATTCCCCCCATTTATTTAACAAAATGGTGGTTTGGTTGTTTCCTAGATCGAGTCCCTTTTTCATTAACGCTTCGTTTATGGGATGTTTTTCTTTATTATGGAGATTGTATTCTCATTGCTATGGCCTATAATATTATGAAAATGCACAAAAGTAAAGATTTGTTTTAATTTTTAAAGATTAACTTTGAACTATTTAATTTTTAAAAAGATTTTTAAATTCACAAGTTTTCGATACTTCCTGCTTTTATTTTATTCAAAATTTATTTTACTATTTAATTTTTGAATATTTTCAATTTAAAAAAATAAAAATTTCAGAAACTATATTGAAATTAAATATTGAACAATTTATGGAATTTATTCAAAGAACATTAGCTGAAGATTTTGGATTTCCTGATGATAAAGTAATGGAATCATTAGAGGAATGTTTGAAGAAATTACAGGTTTTTTTTATTAAATAAATATTTAAATTAAATAATTTAGCAGATTTTTAATTTTTCTAGAATGATTAAAAAAATTATTTTCTGAAAATCTAAATTTTTATTACTTATTTTCCAAAAAATTAAACAAAATTTCATTTTAGAAACATTTTATTCCAAAATAAATTCAATCTTCAACTTTTCTTTAAAAATTAAATTTTTCTTTTCAGAATGACAAAATGGCATTACCACCCCCTCCAAATCCAACGGACCCACAAGAAGTTCCCACAAAACAATTAGGTCCAATTCTGACACGTTCAATGCTTGATATTCGCTCTGATATTGCTGAAGTATTTTAATTTAATTTTGAAAAATTAGATAATTTATTTTTTTAATTTAAAGGTCTACAGTAGATGTTCTCGTGCCAACTGTGAGTTTTATTTTTTTAATTATTTTTTCTTTCCCTTTCTTTTTTTTTTGTTTTTGTTCATTTTTTATTTTGTCAATTCCTTGTAAATTTAAAAATTGTTTTGTTGTGCTTTTACAGCAATATCAATGCTTCTCCTTTATTCTCTTCCAAGTGTTCTTAAATTTATTGATAGTGATGATGAAAATGTTGATGAAGAGGAAGGCTGTTGAGTTGCATGAAATTTTTTTTAAATTATAGTATATGTACATATTTTGAGATATATTTTCTCAAATTTATTTGTAGAGGTGTAGCTATTTTAATTTCTTTTATCCATCAAGGACGGCAGCTTTTTATTATAATTTCTCATTAATATTTTTGATAGTTTTTTATTTTGTCTCTATTTTTGTTTTTTCATATGTTTCGATATATTTTTAGTTTCTCTATTTCAACCCTAATTAGGTTAAATATTAAATTAATTAATTATTGTCCTTCCTTTATTTGTTTGTTTCTTCAAATTACCGATATTTTTTAATTTTTTTTTAATTTAAAAATAATTTCACCTCTAATTTATTCCAAACATTTTTCAGCATTAGCCGGCCGTTCCCCAGCCCCCAGCCGACGACAACAGCAAAGACATTACAAATCAGCAACTGCAGCAATACGTGTTCCAATTCAGGATGCTTCAATTGAAGGAACAACAAATACTTCAATTCCTTTCTCAACCCCAGCCTCTTCATCTTCTTTTGTTTCCCCTCCAGTTGAACCTTTCCTTAGAAGAGTTGGATCTACAAAGGATAGAAGACATAAACCTCCACCTGTGCCAGATGAAGATGGTTTTGTTAGAATGAGTCCAAGACAGAGAAGGGAACATCAATTACAACAAGTATTGTAAAAAATATATAAATAAATAACAAAATATTAGTTTTCTTGTAAAAATTAGTGAATCTTTAGAAAAATACTTAAATATGTGTAAATCCCCCATTGTTTTACTCTTGTATTTTCATTAAAATAAATTTAAGAATTTATTCCACCTCCAAATTTTATTTTTTATTTGGTCATCTTAACTGGGTGTTTTTGAATTATTTTTTGAATTTTTTTGAATTATTTTTTAATGATTTTAAGCCTTAAAACTTTCAAATCTGATATTAATACATACACTTAATAATTTCATATTAAGCAACAACAACGCTTAGCTGAAGAAGCTGTTACCCATAAACGCCAACCTAGCCATTATGATAATGTTTTGTCCTCCTCTTCTTCTGATACTAGTGGTGTTAATAATACAAATAATGGAATAATTAATACTAATCAAATTAATAATAATACAAATAATTCTTCTACTTTTTATACCCAACAACATGGAACAAATGCATTAAAAAATTCTAATGTTAACCCTATTCAACAGCAACAAATATTACATTCTCCTATTCACAGTAATAATGTTGAGGTATTTTATTTACAAACTTTATGTAAAATTCAGAAGTTCTATATAAAGCCCGTTTGTACCTTCCAAACAAAATTGTCGAGTGCACCGACCAACGGGAAAGCCCTGTAGAAAAAAACTAAGATACTAAATAAAACCCTACTTCCGTAGGCTCATTCACCTAAGGCCGAATCAGGTAGTGGAAGACCGTTTGCGCCATATAAACTGACTTGAGTGGGAGCTTTTTTTACATATATTAGCGCGATGGTCTTTTGTTCTGGTCGAATTATTTGAGTTTGTTCTGTCTTGGATCGAGTTTTGTCAGATATTTAAAAAAGGGGACACCATTAACCCAGCTATTTCAAAACATCCAATTTTAAATTTTTTTATATATTAACCTAATTTTAATATTCAGCACAGGCGCGATATCTCTACTGACAGCAGTGGTCGACATCGAGTTCATCGAACACCGAATAATGTGACTTATGTAATGCTTGGTCCAGAAGAGGAAGAAGATAACAATAATAGTAGTGATGGAAGTCAACAAAGTATTGTGCCTTTTAGAAAAAATTTTGTTGAACAAAAAACGTCTGCAGCGGTCAGGCGTGTTGTTACTAGTCCACAACAACAAAAACCATATTTCCCTCCACCAGATTATCCTGGAAGCGAGAAATTTCTTCCAAAAACAACAGCTTCAAACAAAAATTCTGAAATCTCAGAAACACCAAAAACAATAAAAACGAGGCCAGAAAAACTTCCTTCTGAACGAACTCCTTCAAGAATACCAATGTCTACAAATACAGACAGACGTAGGCCGTCATCTCAAAATGAAAGACAACCTATGGCAAAACCTTTATATGCTAGAGATGAGAAAACAGTAGTGAAACGTTTTTAATTTTGAAGAGAAATGAGTGAGAGCTTTTTTAGGAGAGAAAGACTTGAAAAAATTGAAGCATAATTTTAAATAAAAAATCTGTATCAATTTTAGACACTTATAATTAGGTATGTAGAATACTTTAATTTAGATTTGGGAAAGCAAATTTTTTAAGCAAAATTCCTTTCACAATTTTTAGAAAATAAAATATTCCTCTTTTAGAAATTATTTTTTTATTTCCTAAAAATTATTCCAACCCCGGAAATTAAGTGTTTAAAATCATTGTGATATCTAATTGTTTGCGTTTCTTAAAAAATTGATTTAAAATGCCAAAAATTGTAATTTATTCCTCGGGACTTGAAAAGTGCTACAATTGTACAGTGAATTGCAATTATGTAAGTGGATATTAATTTAGTATTAGAGACAAGTTTGATTCCATTCCACAAGTAAATGCAGACTTGCACACGGATACGGATATGGATACAAATAATATCAAAATGCCTGCGGATATCCGTCTGTATCCGCCGTAAATATCCGGATACGGATACCAAGATCAGTATCCGTGTGCAAGTCTGAGTAAATGTCTTTGTGAAAATTTATTCATGTGTTCAACGCCAGAACGATCTAGTCGATTTTCTGGAATCCCTATCTAATCACAATTGACTGTACAACATTGTACAAATGTCCTGTGGACTACGTTCAATCTCGACTTTATATGAGGCGCAAATCCATGTTTTACATCTTTATATTCATGCATTTAAAAATAAATTTTATTTTTTCCAATATGTATTTACAAGTATAAAATATTTTTCAAAAACATTATGGTAAAAAGACATAACCAATGCTTGGAACCAGTGCAAAAACAGAATATAACCAAATTTTAATCAAAAAACCCCATAGTTTGATTATGCCTTTTTACTATTTTAAATGCCAATAAGAAATTAAATGATGTTTCAGATTGATGAATAAATTAAAGCTCAATGAGGAGATGTTTCTAAATGACATTAAAAAATTGAAATAAAATCACAGGGAAATACACAAGTAATATAAAAACATCAAAATGCGTAATTGAAAACAATCAAAAATAGATTGATTTGAGGTCATAAGAAAATCACACAAGAGAAAAAGGAAATTATAAGGCAAAAAATAAATAGAAGATTCAAAAATTATTTTTTAAAATTGTTCTCAAACACTCAAATTGTGAAACAAATATTTTTTTGAAGATTTAAAGGCCCAAAAAATTCATTGTTGTTTAGAGAACAATTTTAAACACAAGAAATATTAAATTATTTCAGTTACCTTTTAATAAATTCGAAAAATATTTTCTTGTTGATGACGAAGATGTTTATTAAAGTGTACCAAAAAACTAGAGAATTTTGATGGAGGTATATGCCCTTTAAAATAATCCAAAGGTTGAGGTTTTATTCCGTGTATAAAGGTATATTCAAGTTGTAGAAAATCAATCATTACTCGAATTAAATTTAATGTTTGAATTTGTCGATATTTTGAACGTCTGATACGATATGAATAAGTAAACAAAAAGTCCTCGTCAGTTTTGATATTTGATGTACAAATATCTAGAAAATTATTAAATTAATTGGGAGGACAATTAAATGTTAAATATCCCTTCATTTTCACTCAATTAATTATCTAAAAATTGCCCAAATACTTTTAAAAAGTCCCTAATAACAAAAGCTAAAATGCATTTTACTTTTAATCAACAATTAATATTTAATTAACTTGCCTTGATCAATTTCCATTTGTAATTCCATTCCCAATTGAAATTTGTTTATATCACTTTTACTCTTTTTTCTAGGTAATGAACTTGTCGAAGATTCAGAATTATCGTTGTCATCCCTTTTAAGTTATTTTTTTATATTTATTCAAAGTCTCGGCCCTATCTGAAAATAATGCGGCAATCAAATTTTTTCCTTATTCTTAAAAATGGTTAATTTTCTTATATTTTTTCTCTATTTTTGGTTTTTGCCTTAAGACTATAAACGCAAAAGGATTATTTTTCTTTCATTTTGTAAGCATTTACGTTTTTTCTGTCCGTGTTTTAACTGACCGATGTGTGTGCTTGTTTTGTTTGTCCGGGTCCGTCCTGACAAAACACGGACGGTCCTTGTTTTGTCTGCCCGTGTTCGGCCGTGTTTTCTGTCCGAGTCCGTCTTTGTTTTGTCTGTCCGAGTCCGTCCATTTGAAGTGAACGAGGGAAAAAGTCCGACCTTTCTGTACAAAATAAGGAAAAATGTGGAAAGGAAAAAATGAAGGAAAAAATTTGATTGCCGCATTATTTTCAGATACGGCCAGTCTCTATCCCCTCTATTTATGTTAATATTTTTATTCAAAAACCATGGTCAATGTTCCTATTTCTTCCAAAACACCAAAAAATAAAAGAACTGCTTCTTAAGCTAATAGTAATTTAATTACATGCCCATGGTTTTTAAATTTTAAATTTTGTTTTTACTTGACTTCAATATTAATTGTTTCTGATTTAAGAGGCTCCTTTGTGAGTCCATTCGGATAAAGTTATATATTTAAAATTTAAGATCGAATAATATTCTCCATCTTTACCTCTATGAATTTAAAAAATACCTATTATTCTTCTCATTATTTTTCCTCTTTAAATGTTTAAATTTAAATCTAATTGTTCTTCCAATACATTCTAATATTTTTTGGCAATATTTAAATTCTCTAAATTTGTCATTCGAAACAATAAAACCACCAACTTGCGAAGCATATTCTAAAATAGCAATATCGTCATGAACATTTGGTGGAACAACTGTGAGAATTCCGAGAGCTTTAAATTCCTAAATTACAAAAATTATTTCTTTAAAGAAAAATTAGAAAAAAAAACCTGTAAAATAAATAAATTGGAAACTTTATTTTCTGACATATATGAAAAAGAGATAAATACACGCACATCAAAGTCCTCTTCAAATAACTTTTTTACAACCAATAGAAGGCCAATTGCATCCGGTTTTCTTTAAAATTAAACGTTTTAATTTTTCGAATTCAAAAAATTAAACAAACTTTTGATCAAACATTTTCTGTTCTGCACTTGAATGTAACCCCATACCAGCACATAAATGTAAAACATTACATCCATCAACTACAGCCATTCTTTTAATCACATCTTTGGTTGGGATAATGCCTTCTAAAAATAAAAATTATTTAAATGTTATTTAGAAGAATTTTTAAAGGAATAGTTTTAATTTTCTAAGCTAACGAAATTAACATTAGAAGATCGTGTTAAATTAAAAAAATCAAACCTTCATCTGATTCACAATTTACAATCATTGGCTACCTCCTAACAGAAAAAATATGAAGAAATTAAACAAATCAATTAAAATATTTAAAAATAAATTTTACGAATAATAAACATTAATTAAAAATATTAGAGAAAAAATTTATTTTCAAAAAACAAATATATATTCTATAAATAGGGAGATCATCGATTTTTGCAGTTTTATTAGATTTATCGATACAATTTTAAAAAATTAATAAATCGATTACTCTCCTCTTTAAATAAGTATATCCGTGTCCTAAGGTCTTGTTGTTGAGGAAAAATAAAACAAGAAAGGGAAGGGGAAAATAATTTTATTTATTTAAAAATTCTTTATTTTTCTTCAATTTCGTCCACTTCTTGTTATTTATTACATAATTATTCTTTTGTTGGAATCCCTCTATTTACCCTCTTCTTCCTCCTTCTGTTTCTCTTTAGCCATTTTCTCTTCGTGTTCCTTAGCATTTGGAATCCAAAGACCAGAATCAATACAACGCTGCAAATGATAATTGAAGACTTCCCTATCCATAGTTTCAGCTACTTTGAACATTTTCTCCATACTTTGAGATTCAAATGCTTCACGCAACGCCTAGAAAGAGAATATTGAATTTAGGCTTTAAAAGCTTTGAAATTTTTGAATAAATTTAAAGAAAATTAAAAACCTCAGGAAGACTTTCCAAAACCTCAATAGGATCCAAACCACCGGGAGAAGCCTCAACTCGCTTAGCCTTATCAGATGCCTCTGCTTCAGCGACATAAGCCTCACGTTTGTCTCGGGCACGCTTTCGAAGACGTTCCTTGAAGGATTGAACTTCCTCCTGATACATTTGCAGATACAAAACCTCAGCAGAACGAATTCTAATTAAATAAATTGAAAAGAAAATAGAGAATAAAAAAACTTTTTGAAGAAGCTTTTGATCAAATTTGTATTTGTTGAGAGAGCATGCAATGATTTGGCAAGTTCAAGAAGATATTGAATTGTAATACAATTCTCAGCTACAAGACCCATTTTGTCATCCTTTAAAAATAATTTTGAACTATAAAAAGTAAAAAATCTTTACATCTCCCTCAATTGCATGATTGAGAGCTTCGATGGTCAACCAATTTGTAGCATATTCAGAAGCCAAATGAGGGTTATCCAACAACATATTCTGAAAACAAAAAATATTACTTAAAATAAAAAATTTAAAAAAAACCTCCATAGCATCAAACCCCTTCAAAAGACTCATCTCTCCCAATAAAGTCTCGTTTTTAGAAAAGTAGTCAAGTAAACGTCGATGTTCTTCGTCTTCACTGAGTTTTGGTTGAGCAGAAACACTAGGAGAGGAAGCATCCTTAACTGAAGTCTTGTCTTTTGGCTGAAATTAATGAAAATAAATGTTAAAGATTAATTGTTCATTTCACATGTGTTTTTTCTCGGGACCAGTAAACTAGAAGATTACCCACGTGTTTAATAGAAACAAGTCCTTCTTCAAAAGAAAAAGGGGGCAATACACATTAGTGTAGATACTATTCATTAGGTTCAGAATTAACCAAAGCCCAACTGGACATTTGGTCAAATTCAACAGCTATCAGGGGTAGGGGCGGTAGTGGTAGAACAATAGTATCTTCAAAAAACCACCTTATTAACAATAGTTCGACTCCAAGTTTCCTTCCCAATTGTATCGATATTCCAAGGTGCCAGTCTCTCCTTATCAGCCAATTCCTTCTCTTTTCGTAAATATTCTTCTTCTTGTTTACGGATATTATCACGTTCCAACTCCAATTTGATACGCTCTTTTTCATCCAAATTTGTGTTTGAAAGCTTTTCTTCAATTTCCTTAAAATAAAAATTTTTTGTTTAAAAAATTCTTCAAAAAACCTGAACACGGCTCAAAACTTCCTTCTTTCCTCCCTCAACCTTCTCCTTTTCTTCTTTCATTTCTGCCATACGTTCAAGCCGAGCTTTGTGACGCCAACGGAAAAGAGAAGGCTAAAAAATATTTTAAAAAATAAATTAAAAATAAAAAAGACCGTATCGATATTTGGATGGGTATCATCTTCATCATCAGATATTTCAATATCCTTCCAACGAGAATAATCTATGGCCATTGGTTGAATAATAATGTTAAGAATTTAATTAATTTTACAGCTAAAAGAACTTAAAATTAATAAAGAAAACAATAAAAAAATTTCCATAAAACCCCTCGTTTTGCTCTGACTAATTCGGGTAGGAGACGACTGGGTGCCGCATCTTTCTATAATTGGACTGATCTAATCAGTCTACAAAAAGTTTTCAATAAAGCGCGGATTTAGGCAAGCAAAAACAGTGAAATAGACGCCCCAAAAAGCCCTTCAAAAGATAAGCATTTATTCGTTACATTTTGAATTATAAACGTAAATCAAATACTTTTCAGAATTATCTAAAGTAAAAAGACATCCGTTTCTCAGAATGAACTGATATTTTAAATTCTAGTTCGACGAATTGAGTATTTTCACTCTGTTGGACATTTTTAAATGTGCCGTTTAGGTGTAGGACATCTTGGAATTTTTGCTCAGTGGGACATTTGGGCGTTTGTTCGGTGAGACGAATCGGGGCTTACGGACTGTGGGTAGGGAACGACATATCAACGTTTTCTTAAGAAAAAAAAGTTGATTTAATAATATCAACAATTATTCGCGAACAACTTTTTTTTAAATACATAACGCCAGAACAACGTTAATATCAACGTTTTGCGCCAAACAACTGCGAATCAACGTTTTTGTATCTTTTTTTCTCTGCTCTGCCATTATATTTCTCTTCTTTTTTTCTGTTAATTTTCGTTCGTGTAGTCTCTCCTTTGGAATTTAAAAGAATTTTACGAGTAGGAATTTTTTTATTAAAATTGAAAAAATATATAAAACAACAAAATTTTATCCATCTTTAAATAATGATTGTAATGAAGTGGAATTTTGTTTGAAGTTTCTTTCCAAAATTTTAGCAAATCTAGCTTATGTCCTCCCAAATTCTTACATCCAGTTTCATACTGTTCCATCTCAAAATCTAGTCCTTTCTCGGCCAAATCATCGTTTTTAATTTCTGTTTGTAACTTTTTGAATAATCACGACGAAGTTTTGGTTTACAAATAATTTGTACATCCCATGCAGCCTTGAAAAAAATATTACTTATACTTATTAATTTAAATACTAGGGTTGTTGGCAACCGATTATCAACCGGTATCCCCGGTTTTCGGTTTTTAAAATCGCCAACGACCCTATTAAATACCTTAAAAAATTCTTCATGAAATACAGACCTGAGTAATTTAGTACTTCGACATTCTCTTGTTCTCTCAAGAATCCAATCAAACCATACTTGTAAATCATATTCAGAATCCACTTTTGGCTAAAGCTGCTCTGACTAAATCATCTCCTCTTACTTCTCCTCTCCAAGCATTTTCCAATTTGATCATTTCTATCATTAATCTGTTCATTGTACATTTATTTTCGGCCTAAAATTTAAATTTTCTAAATTTCAATATTATTTTTTACCTCAAGTATTTTCAAAGGTGCTTCCAACATTGAAACAGTTTGAATATAAGCTTCAAAAAGATTTTGCTTGGAAAAAATTCGTTCCATTCTCTCTGTGTGATTTCCAGAATATTTGTTAACAATTTCTTTAAACGATTCTTTATCTTACATTAGATCCCTCATCAGTAATAAAAACGATTTTTGACATGTCAAGCCCAAGATAGGTAAGATTTTTGTTGACTAAATCAGATATATTTTTTCTGATTTTGGAAATGTCTCCAGGAATTGGAAGACACGAAAGTACAAACATTCATTCCATGATCGTCTACTCTTCGGACTTCCTAGATTAATCCTTTAAGGAAATCGGATTTTCGACGTTTCGATGACGGTGTCACAGGTTCTTCGAGATCGCCGCTTTCGAATGCGACTCTTAATTCATTTTCAAATTCATCCATCTAGTAAGAATATATGTGGAAAAATCCCTAAAAATTACAGAAAAAAGACTGAACATTTATAAAAATGGAAAATTGCAAATTCCAAAGGAGAGACTACACGAACGAAAATTAACAGAAAAAAAGAAGAGAAATATAATGGCAGAGCAGAGAAAAAAAGATACAAAAACGTTGATTCGCAGTTGTTTGGCGCAAAACGTTGATATTAACGTTGTTCTGGCGTTATGTATTTAAAAAAAAGTTGTTCGCGAATAATTGTTGATATTCGCCGCGAATCAACGAAAACGTTGATTTGTCGTTCACTAGTCACGAACAAAGGATCAAGTTGCCCTTTTAATAAATAACATAATGCCAAAAAATAAATTAACTGCCAAATATTCGCAAAATTAATTTCCGAAGATTCTGTTTTCTAACAGAATTCTTCCAAAAAACTCTTCAATTTTCTAATTTTTTTTCACAAATTTATTTTAATTTAAAAAATCTTCAAATTATTCAGAATGTTTGCACCCCAATTTCGCCCTTTGACCTTAAAAAAATTTGAAAAAAATATTTTTCGATTTTTCCAAAATTTCCAATCAATTAATTTCTCAACAGCCTCTTCTTTTAAAAAATTTAATTTTGAATCTGAAAATGTTTTGGAACGTTTTATTATTGACAGAATACGTTCTACTGGCCCAATAAGTGTTTCAGAATATATGAAATTATGTGTGTCTTCTCAATATGGTTATTATGCACAAAAGGTTTTTTAAGTTTTAAATTGTTTTTTAATTATTATTTAGGCTAAAATATTTGGTGATGGAGAAGGTTTGGAATTTTTTAAATAAATTTATTTAATTTTTATCTTGTAGGGGATTTCATTACCTCGCCAGAATTAACACAAGTTTTTGGTGAATTGGTTTGTTTATTTTTTTTCATGTTTTTTTGGGTACTTTTGGGTTATCCCAAACCACTATTCGTTTTTGTTTTTACATAAATATATTTTCTCAAAGTTTTCCAATTTAAAATTGATTTGAAATTTATTTTAAATAATTTTTTATTTTAGGTCGGAGCCTGGTTATTAAATGAATTGCATATGACAGGATGGGAAGGGCCTTGGAATTTAGTTGAACTGGGTCCAGGTTCTGGAGCTCTAATGGTTGATGTTTTAAATGTTTTGAATAAATTAAAATCTGATAATAAATTAAATGTTTATTTAATTGAAAAATCAGCACAATTAATTAAACAACAAAAACAAATATTTGAACAACAATTATTGAATAAACAAATTTGTATTAATTGGTTTGATTCTATTGAAGATATTCCTGAAGGGGTTTTTAATTTTGAATTAATTTTAAGTTTAAAGTATTTTAATTTGACTATAAAATATTTAAAAAGGGCCAGATTTCCGAATAACCACAAAGCATTTGATTTTTAAATCTTTACTGACTAATAATAAATCAAAAATTAATTTTGTTTTTATAAAAATTGTAAAAAAATATTTTAAATATTTTCTCAAATCTAGTTTACTATATTTATTTCAAATGAATTTTTCGATGCTTTACCCATCCACCAATTTGTACGAAATAAAGAAAAACCAAATATTTGGCAGGAAGTTTATATTCAATTAACTACTAGTAATGGAAATGTTGAGATAGATGAAGAAGATGGACAAATATTAACTGAAAAACATTTATGTTTTGGATTATCTCCAGGTATTTTAATGAATTTTTGGAAATTTTAGGTTAATAATTAATTAAAATTTTATTAATGAAAATTTCCTTTATTTTTTAAATTTTATATCCCAAATTATGAGCGTTAATTTTTTTTTGAATTAAAGTTTGACTTTTTAAATTTTTAAGTACACCTCCTGAATGTTTTTTGAATTAAAAAATCTTTAATTTTAATTATTTATTAATTTTTAAATAATTTTTGTTTTTTTAGGTGAAAATATCCATACCCGTGCATATATCCCCCAACATATCAGAAACGATTTGTCCAGAACTAAATGGGAATATAGTCCATTGGCAACTAAAATTACACTCGAAATGATTAAAAAGTTTTGTTTTTAATTTATTTAAAAATTTTAATTTTAGATTTACAACAAATGGAGGGTTTGCTTTAATTATTGATTATGGGTAATTTATTTTGAATTAATATAAAATTATTTTTAAGTCGGGGAAAAACAAAAAATAATTTTTAGAATTAATTGTGTAAATTTCTTTGCGATTTTAAGTTTTCTTAATTTTTTATTTACATTTTTCTTACTTGACACGGGAACATTCCGAACTGTATATGAAAATTTCGTTATCTTTTTTGCACCATCGTGTAGAACAGGGTCGATAACCTATTGCCAGTTTTCTGCTTTTTTGGCCCTGACGCCCAAATCGAAATTTATAGGGCTCCAAAGTTTCGGGGGTCAGGGCCAAAAAGTTCGGAATGTTCCTTCGTGAGACTTAAAGATTTCTTTAATTAGAATATTTAAAAACATTTTTAGACATAACGGAGACAGAAAAACTCATTCCCTTCGTGCTTATTCAAATCATTCAATTGTCGATCCATTAGATTGTCCAGGAAGAGTTGATTTAACAGCAGATGTGGATTTTGGGGAAATTAAAAGAGTTATTGAAGGAAAATGTTTAATTTTTGGACCTGTCGAACAAAGGTTTTTTTTGAAATTAAAAAGATAATTTTAATTTATCATTATTTTTGAAAGTTCGGAAATATTGTTTTTCTTAATTTTCTTGTAAAATTTTCGGAATAATTAAAGAAATGTAAAAAATTTGTGAATTTTTAAAATAATTCGGAATAATTTAAAAAAATTAAATTAATTTAAAGGCAATTTCTAACCCAACTTGGACTTATACATCGATTAGATTATTTACTTAGAAAATCAACAACAACCGAGCAACGTGAAGCTTTGCTTAATTCTTGTAATATTCTTGTATCAGATGCTGAAATGGGGGCAAGATTTAAAGTAAATTAATTTAAAAATAATTTAGTTAATCTATTTAATTCTACAAAAATAAAATTATAAGTAATTGAAGCGGCATTGGTATTTAGATAAAAAAAAGGGGGGGATATTCAAATATAAATAAGGGAGTATATTTTAGTTTAATATAATTATTCTCAATTTTTCCTTCCATTAAGTCTTTAACCAAAAAAAAACTCCAAAAATAATTTTAGGTATTTTCATTATTTCCAAATACACTCTCTGAAATTATCAAAGCTAGAGGTGGAATACCTGCCGGATTTGCATCTCCTTTACCTCATTTGGAAGACGAAGATTTAATTAATGATTGAAATATTTTGTTTTAAATTTATTTTTTTTTAAATATTTATTTTTGCAATAAATAAAGAAAATTATTTTTTTTATTGTGTATCTTTTTCTGATTTAAGGAATTCTGATTTTGTATTTTTAATAATTTTATTCTGTAGTGTTTTTTTCTTGTTGTAATTCTGATTTTGTTTGTTTTTGTAAATTCTGATTGTAAATGTGTTTTATTCGTATTTATGTATTTTTCTCGATGTAATAATTCTGAATAAATTCTGATTATTAGGGCTGGCAATTATATGAGCGGAAAAGTCGGAAATATGTACATAAAATATGGATGAAATTTTTCAAAATATGGGAAAAATCCCGAAATATGGATAAAATTTTAATTTTTACTCACAATTAAATTTGGTCACGAGCATTAGCAAATTTTCAGTTTGTAGTGAGACAAAATGCGTATTTTTAGTCTTTTGGACAGCTGGGACGAAATGGGTAGGCCCAATCTGGGGTATTTGTTCAGTAGGGCGAATCGGAACTTTATGTCTGTGAGACAAATCGGGTCGAGACAAATTGCAGGCATCTTGAAAAATGTGGTTTGAAAAATGATAAAATATGTAAAAAATATTGAAAATATGGACATTTTTTCTTGAGAAATAGCGAAATATGGACAAAACATGGAAATGAAAGTCATTATTTTTGTAAGCAAACAGCGCGAAAAGTGTTTTTCGTGTGTATCAAACCAGAAGCAATTTAGGAAAAAATGGATTTCCATATAGGTAATTTCCAGCCCTACTAATTATGTATTTGTGTCTAAAATTCTATGTAATTCTGATTTTCGTATCTTAATGTTTAACATTTTATTTCAGCGATATACTTTGCATTTTTCTTTTGCTTTTTCTATTTTTCTGATTTTCAGTGTTTCTTATTAAAGAATCCGGGAATTTGTATTTTTAATTTTAAACAGAAAATTCTGATTTTTAATGAGAAACAGAAAGGTGTCAAATTTCAACAAAATTTTATTGCAACTACAGAAAAATAATGATTATCACAGGTAGATATAAGGACAAATACAATAATTTATAGGAAAATATTTATTTATTTTTGGGGGAGGGGATACCTATTTTTTTCGTTTATTTTGGTGAAATATCCTATCCAAATCTTTTCTTCTTCTCACTCTTCCTAATTTTCTTCTTCTTTGCTTCTTCTGCCGCCTTCCAGTTAATTTCCGCCGGTTCGTGAACAACACTCTTCTTCTTCTGCTGATCAGTCTTAAAAAGTAAACAAAAAATTTCAGTTTAAAATTCATTTTTCGACTCACTTCCTCAGCCCATCCTTCATTTGGTTCCTCTGTTCCAGCCAAACTTTTACTCGTCTTCAAGAACTCAATAGCAGTATTATCATCATCCTCCAACAAATCGCTGTCCCTTTCGAGGCTCAGAAGATCCGAATTATATTGAGAATTTTTGTTAATACTCGAGGAACTGTTGTTTTGAGATGAAGTTGGTTGATTATAGTATTTCTGAAAAAGAGAGGAAAATTTTCTGGATTTTTAAAAAATTTACACTCACGTTCTTCCTTTGCATCTTCATTCGTGCCATGTTGCGGGCACATCTAGCATAAGCATCTTGGCGACGAGCCTCCCTTCGATCCTCTCCTTTGCGTTCCTCAATCCTCCTTCGGTTTCTCTTCTTCAAGTGGTTGTAGTAGCAGTTGATGACTGAAGTGATAAGAAGAAGGCCAATGAAGATTGAGATTGGAATTAAGTAGTCGATGTGTGGCGGCGTTTGGCAGTTTGTATAAGTATCCATGTGGTAGACCGTAACCTTGAAGCAGCCAGAAATTAGCGCAAGGAAGCTTGTCACAAAAAATCCCAGCCGAAGAATAAGCGCGATCTCTATATCGTGAAGTTCGCCTTTATAAAGGTAGTTCTTGTCACTCTTTGTATAGTCAGCGGAGACATTAAAAAGACAATAAATGCCGCAAACAAATATAAAAAAAGCAACAATGAACGTAGTCGTGGCAACGATTTTGAAGTTTCCAGAGCCAGGATCAGATGTGGTTGTTGCTTTAGGTGTTGTCGTGGTTTGAGGAGGTATTTTCCTTGATGTTGAAGTATTTTTAGGTGTGGTGATCCTGGTCTTTGTTGGCGGTAGTGGTGACGTTGTTGTTGTTGTTGTTGGAAGTGGACCCTTTTGTCCCAACAAAGTGTAGTCTTTTGTATGCTGAATAGAAAAAGTAAAAATTTTGAAATTTGATAAGAATGTGAAAATCCTTACAAATTTGATAAAAAGGTCATCACACTCTGGTCCTTTAGGAGGTACCCTTATATTGCTTTCGTCACCACTGTTGATTCGCGCCGATTCTTGTGGAAGCATATGGAAGACAAGCAAGTTAATGTGATTCGATTTTGGCTTTGTCCCGTTGATTTTCCAAGTAACAGGCTCGGCTACGAACGTGTTGTTAGGGAGACAAAAAGCTTTTTTGCTCGATTCGGCATAGTCCATCTTCTGTCCACGAAATTTAATTATGAAATTGCCCTTCTCCGTTATAGTCAATCCGAAGGATAAATTTTTTGCTTTTGCGTCGAACTTCGTGCTGGTACTCCAAACGGCTAGAACTTCACCCACTAAAATAAAATAATCAAAATAAGACAGACAATATTCATATCCTTACTTGGATGGGCGTGAGCAAAGAATTTATCGTTACAGGTAGTCCACGCAGCTTCAAGAGAAGTCCACCTCATACAATCTGCCGACTTTCCACACTCAGGCTGATCATGACAATTTTCATCCTGATCATACAACGGTCCATTTACTTTTAACTTTGTGATGTTCTTGTCTCTTGTTGTGCTGTAGCCGAAGGGCAAACTAAAAATAAAATTTTAAGATATTATCCTCCCAAACATGTAAACTTACAGATTGGCACTGCTTCCATTAAAAGATAAAGCTTCTGAAGAACATTTCCCAAGGCATTGTTTAATCCCTCCTTTGTTCTCCACTCCAGTTTCCAACTCGATCATGTTGTGAAGACGCGAGAGCAAATCCACAGTGCAACCATTCTTCGCTGCTTTGCTTTCCTTTTTGTAGTGAAGCACGCTGAAAATGTCAAATTTATTTCAAAATTAGTTTAGTGGAGTTCTACATGAAATTGTCTTCAAAAGTAACATTACAGGCTCCAGGATGCTTCGTGTACAAACTAATGTTGTCCTTGTTGACTTCCTCGACTCGTTCGGCAAGAGTAACCATTTCATCCTTCAGCGTGTGATTGAAAAACCCAAAAGGGATTTCACGATTGGTTGCTTCGGGAAGCTTAGTCGTGGTTGGTTCGGGAAGCTTAGTCGTGGTCGCCGTTGTTGTTGTTGATGGAGCGATGAAGTCTTCATTGGTCAACAAAATGTAGTTATCCGTATGCTAAATAGAAAAGGGAAAATTGGAGATTTATAAGAATTTGAAAATGCCTACAAATTTGATAGAAAGTTCATCACACTTTGGACCATCAGGAAGATCATCTTTTTTGATTTCCCCATCAATGTACTTTCGGGATGCCTGTTGTGGAAGCATGTGGAAGACCAGCAAGTTCGTATAATTCGAATTTGGGAGAGTTCCGCCGATTTTCCAAGTAACAGGTTCGGCAATGCCTTTTTCTTTAGGAATGCAGGCTGCTCGATACATCGACTCGAAGTAGTTCATCATCGATTTTCCATCAAAGTCCATTATGAAATTCCCATCCTTCGTTATATTCAAATTGAAAAACAATTCTGTGACACTTTTGTCGTACATTTTATGCTGCAACCAAAGTGCCCGAACTTCACCAACTAGAATAAAATTATCAAATCATGGTATAAAAAACAGCTCAACATACTTGGATGGGTATGGGCAAGGATATTATTTTTGCATTTGGTCCACGCAACCTCAAGAGAAGTCCACGGCATACATCTTCCACCACTGTTTTGGCACTCCCCTTCGTCAGAACATGAAACGTTTTCTTTATAAATTGGTCCCTTTGTTATTTTTGTGATGTTGTTATCTTCTTTTGTGCTGTAGGCGAAAGGCAAACTAAAATAAAAGGCATTTTACTAGATTATTCTTCTCCCAATTAACTAAAAACTTACAGATTATCACTAATTCCATCAAAAGAACTTGCTTTTTTGCATTCTACCAGGCATTTTTCAATCACATCGCTGTGCTTCACTTCGGTTGTGAAATAAATCATGTCCTGAAGGTTGGTGAGCAAGTCCACTGTGCAACCATTCCTCGTCGCAATGCTTTCCCTTTTGTAGTGGAGCACGCTGAAAGACGTCAAATTTATTCTAAAATTATTATCAAGGAAACTCACATGAAATTGCCTTCAAAAGTAACTTCGCAAGCTCCAGAATGATTCGTGAACAACTCGAAGTTTGTCTCGTTGACTTCGACGGTTCCCTCAGAAAGTGTAACCATTTTATCCTTCAGCGTGTGATTGAAAAACCCAACATGGATTCCATTACCATCATTATCACTCTTGACTTGCCCGAGAAGAAACAAAAAAACCAAAGAAGCAAAGAGAGTTGGCAAAATGTTGGTAGTCGACGAGCGCAGAAATGAAGCTGACTTTCTTGTTCCAGAACCATCTTTAAACTCTTCTTGTCGAATTAAATAAAAGAACATTTTGTTTGTTGTTGTTTTGATGTTGATTTGAACGTTGTTTTGATAATTGCTTTGGAAAAAAAGATATATTTATTTGTTGGTAAGGTGAAGAATGAAGAAAACAAAAGGCTTTTATAGTATTTTAAAAGGTGGCTTCCGATGATTCAATTTTACTTCTAGCTCTTTCACTGGTGATGATCTTTTTTTCCCGTAATTCTATTTTGAACTATATACGACAAATACGAATTGACTCTTGAATTTATATTTTATTTTGACTTCTGAGTAGGGTTGCCGTTTTCGAGTCGGGCCAAAATTCCATTCAAAATATTAAACAAAAATCAATAATAATGAATAAAAATCCATGTGAGAGAGTGCCTTATCTATTTTCGATCTAAGGATTTGAACGGATACTGATTTGGACGGATCGTGATCTCAGTTCAAGAAGGATTAAGGGGATTACGGAGGATATCGAGGGATATCGGAGGATTGAGCTTGATCCACCTCATCCAATCAATTGCGTTTATTTTTAGAAATTTGAAGCATTCATTCAGTTGTTTTTTGAATTATGTATATTTTATGGAATATTTGATAAAAATATTCAGAATTTCTCAAAATATGCAAAAATTTGCATTAAGAACCGGGTCCTAAAGTACTCGGACCAACGTAAAAACACCATTTTTGGGGTTCTCTCATCATGACATATCCGCACACAAAACATCCATTTGCATGATTATCCGGGCTTATTAGTAAATGTTTCATTTGTTTTACATTTTTTTTCAAATTAATCGTTCCTCTTTTTTTTATTATTGTCTCATTAAATATGTATTTGTGGCCATTTATTCCCTTCTTCTCTTCACTTTAATTTCCTCCACTTTTAAATTAATCGGATTTATTTGCCCCCCTTTTTTTAAATTTGAGGTCAGTTCTCTTCACTTAAATAGCCATACATTTATTTTTGACAAAAGAGGAGATTTTTAAAGACTTGCGCTGATCAATAAATAATTGGCCTTATTATTAAATTAAAATGTCTATTAATATTTTTTATAAAATTTCCTTTTTAATTAATTTCTTTATTTATTTTATTGCTACAATAATTTGTCATTTTTCATTTTCTTTTAAATTGCCATTACCTACTCTTGTTCCAATACGGTATTTTTTTGTTACAAAAATATCTAGTAATTTTAGTGTTAGTATAACGGAACTTTTATTTATGTAAAGGAGAGGGGGGAGGGGGAATACACATTTTTGGATTTCTAATTTGGTCTCTTCAAAATATACAATACGTATTGTTAAATATTATCTATTTATTTCAGATTTATAGAAAGAGTTAATGTTACTATCAACAATGATAAAATTAATTTTTAGAGAATAATTAATAATTTTTATTGGATTAGTTTTTGGTTTTGATTATAAGTTCTTAATTAAAATAAAAAAATAAGTTTAACCTTGCCAACATTTGAGATTAGGGTTGTGGGTCCGGTCTGAAAAATCAAGTCGGGCATTGAATTTTGGCCTGAAAAAGAGTCGTTAATGCCGGCTTGATAAAAATGACTCGAACGTCGGCCCGACTCGAAAACCCCAACCCTATTTGAGATAAATTTTAAAAAATCTCTTCTTCAAAAAAATCATCTTTTCACAGTTATGACCTTCAATTTCAACTTCCAACAGCCTCAGACAAAGACCCTTTAGTTCCAACATTTGTTGGTACAGCAAAACTAGAATTTCAATTAACTAGACAAATACCCCCATACGAATCTAAACAGCAATATTTAAATAATAATGAAATAATTAAATTAACATTTCTTTCACAAAAATTAGATCAATTCGAAAATATTACTTTAATTCGTTATGGGGAAGATGAAGAAGAAATTAATTTTAATGTTGATGTTGAATTACGCCCTCCATGGGAAATTGACTTTTTAGTTAAGGAAGAAGGAAGGGAAAATAAAAAACTTTTAACTGGCCGTTATATATTAAATATTGGAAGATTTGAAGTAAATTTTGGAGGAATTTATTTTTTATTTTATAAATTTAAAGGGTATAATAACTTACAATAAAGGTTTATTCTATAGAGATGCTGGAGGATTACCTTTATTAGCTAGTAATTTTTTCTTTGAATTTTCGCCTTCTTTGTTTCCACAATTGGGTGGCCCTTTACAGAAAACTACAACTAAAGTATAATTTTAGAAAAATAATTGTCATTTCTTATTTAATTAGATTTCTTTAATTCACCCTCACGGCACAACAGCTTTGTCTAGTATGCATCCTCTTGGCCCAACAGAATCTTTAAATGAACATTGGCAATTATTTTTATTTTTTAAAGAAAAAAATAATTTTTTAAAGGAGACTTACACGTTTTGTTCAAGCCCCAAATATAGCTGCTTATTTAATTGGAATTGCTGTTTTGCCTGATTCTGTTTATGAAAGAGTAATTAAAAAGGAAATAAAATTTATTTAAAAATAAATTTTTAGACATTAATACAAACACAGCCACCTTTATTTATTTGGACAAATCGTTTATTACATACAGCAATCTTGAAACGAGAATTGGCAAAGTAGATGAGATTTTTTAAATATTTTTTAAATATATTGGAGTTAAAAAGGGAATTGAAATGCCAATAATTAATTATTTTTAGTTAAGCATCATTCCCCGAGATTTTAGAGAATGATGTACCTTATTTTTTGGCTTAAAAATTTCTATTAGAATTTCTGAACAAATTTATTATTTCAGAATGAAATTAAATTGAGAATTAAGTCATTGAATAGAGACGGGAATTAAAGTTAAGAACCAGGAATACCTACTACATAGTAGGTGACTTTTGCATATAGACAAAGATTTTTGTCTTAACCATATAATTTATAGGAGAAATGAATTCAAAATATTTTTTTAAACTATTAAAATATCTAAAATAATTTTCTCTTTTTCCCTTTTTTTAGAATATCTGGCCCTGTATTTGAAGCAATATCTTCTTTATTAGGAAATGAACGTTTACCTTTAAATGCTTTAAATTTATTAATTATTGATGATTTTAATAGTTTATTTATTTTTTAAATTTTTATTAAAAAATTAATTAAAAAGACACAGATTCTACACATTCTTTTGGATTAATAACAATTTCTTTAATTCAATGGGAGGCTGCTGATCAGGCTCATAAAATTGCTTTATTAGCTAGACAATTTGCTAGGCAATGGTTGGGGGGAATGACTACAGTAATTAATTTTTGATTTTGAATTTTTGGGGTTAATAATATGTAGTTTAATACACCGCTGTTTTTCTGATAATTTTATTTTTAAAAAGAGATTTCTGATTTTTAGTCAAATATAAAAATTTTATTTTGGGGTGAATTCCTAATTTAATTTCTAATTTTTAAACAATTAAAGGTAGCAAATGCAGGAATTTTTTGTTTACAAGAAGATATAGTTGAATGGTTAACACATAAAGTAAATAATAATAAAATTAAAAGATCTGACTTTAAAAAATAATAATTTTTTGGGTCGTTCAACGTGTTTTACCTTCTATTTTGGCAAGTTCTAGTTTGTGTGACAAAGCTTGGCAAAGATTTCAACTTGCCCATTATTTAAGAATTAATTTGGCTGGTAAATAAATTTGTATATTTATTTTTAATATGTTAAGAATTAATTGAAATAATTGAATAAAATATATTTTTAAAAACTATTTTTTAATAAAAAGGAAAAATTAAGAAATATTTTGAAGAACTACTAAACCTTTTTTAAATTTATTTAGAAACTTTCCTTGCACCAGGTGAAGCAGTTGCTCTTCCAGAATGGGCCGGAGTGGATGAGGTATTAATTATAATTATTTTAATATATTTTGACAAAAAAATTAGTTTGTTAAGAATTTATTAAAATAAAAATTTAATTGAGTGTTTCTTTGGGGAAAATTAAAGATCATTTAAATATTAATTAATTAAAAATATTTTTTAGATCAAAACTCATTGTTCACTTAAAGGCGTTTTATTTTTAAATTCAATAGAACGTTTAACCAATAAAAGTGAATTAACAATGCTTGGAATTATTAAACGTTTATTAGTCCAACAACGTTATAGACATTTTAGATTAGAACATTTAGATGAATTATTGAGACCTTTATTAATTGATAGTATTGATATTGGACAGGTATTAATTGTGGATTTTAAATATTTAATATGCTCTTTACCCAAAAATAATTTTTCGAGAAAATATTAGGAAAGTTGACAATTGTTTTCTTCCAATCTAGTTTTTATGAAAGACTACCAATCATCGGTATTGGAATGGTTTTGCGAATAAAATTTAGAGGCCGAATAGCGGCGAAATCTCGAATAAAAATCTCGGTTGTCAAGAATCTAGATATCGATCTTGATTCCGGTCTCTAACTACAAAATACAGCTCCGGAGAGCTTCTAAAATTAATCCATTCGATTTTTTATTTACTTAAAAATAATCTTTAAAAAAATTTTTTTAAAAAGGTTTTTACTTTTTGGTTTAAAAGTGGAGGTATACCAAATTTATTAGTGGAAAAATCTTCAAATAAAAATAACAATCGTTTACGGCTTGTTCAATTAAATAATGGCAGACAATCCCAACAATTATTAAATGGAATACAACATTGGGCTAAAATGCCTTTATGGCCTTTACCTATTGATATACAAAATGTTTCTTTACCTTTTAAATTTATGTTATCACAAGGTAATTTGGGAAAGACATTTTTTGGAAAATACATGTCCAACAAATTTCAGTTCTTGAATTAGCGCCACTTGATAGAAAATTGTTGCCTTTAACAAATCTTGGATTTGGTTAATTTTTTTTTAATTTTTTAATTTTCTTCTTTTAATTCTCAAACAGAAATTTAAAAAAATAAAATTAAAATTCCCTACATTTATTTAAAAATCTTTAATTTTCTAGATCATTTATATAAAGTTAATTATGACTTAAAAAGTTGGGAACGTATAGTTCACGAACTTGGAGATACTTCTACTTTAAATGTATTAAATGCAAAGTCTCGTGCACAATTACTTGGAGATTTTTGTTATTTTAATGCTTTTGATGGTTTTAAATTATTTATTTTTTAAAATTTTTTTCATCTACCAAATTATCCTCTCTTCCCTCCCTTCCTTTAATTAATTACTCTCTCCGGTGAAAAGTTCAGATAATAATTACTCCCTCAATATCGTACATTCAAATTTCAAAACTCAAATAAACCCCCTCCCTCAATTAATCTTCGGAGAGAAGTTGGAAAGTAGTTACCTAAAGTAATTATTCAAAAAAAGATTTATAATTAATAATACACTATTTATTCTTTAATTTTAATACTCTTTTTAAACCTTCCTTTTAAAATTACTTTAAGTAATATTCCTATTAATATTTAGTTGTTTACTCTGCTTTCTCAAATTTTTCCGAAAAAATTAACTAAAAACTAAAAAAACATTTCAAATTATTTTAAAAATCCTCAAAGCTTGTTATTTAAGTATTGCATTAAAAAACAATACATTCCCAAAAATTGACACACAAACAAATACCAACCGACCAAAATCAACGGGTAAATAACCGACCAAAACTAAATTTTGTATTTATTATTTTTAAAACGCTTATTTATTTCAGACGTGATATAATATATTTTTAAATAATTTAAAAAAGAAAAAGCAATAAATATTTTTCCTTTTTTATTTTCTCTTTTCTTTACTGACAAATAAAAAATTTGGTAGCTATGTTTTGATATATTTTAATTAAATTTTGTTATTTTAAAATTCAGTTTTTTTCTTTTAAACTGACTTTAATTAGGGTGCCCTGAAAACCAGGATTTCTTGTGCCCGGAGCCGGATTCTTCAAAATTTAAAACCCCCTCCTCCCCCCTTTTTTTTCTTTCTTTGTTTTATAAAAACAATAGGCACATAATTATCAAATAGAATTTTTAAAAAATATAAAATACATTTTATTTTAAATTCAGAAACAATTTTTTTAAGATAATGATGAAAAACCATCAGAATCTAGCCAATTATTAATTGAACGTCTTCAACGTAATTTCCTCGAACTTTTGCGAGAACATTATGAATATTTTGAACTTTGCGAATTTTATGCTTTTTGGTGTATGGCTGGACGGGGAAGGCGTATCCCCATGGACAGAGAATCCAGATTTAAATATTTACAAATTATTCAACAAAATGTTTTGCCTGCATTATTAAATGGGGATAATTATGAATGTGGAGGTGAAGAAATAAAATAATTACTTTAAATGTAATTAAATATTTTTAAGGTCCCGGATTAGGCTTTGATGCCGGTAATATATTGTGTAGAGCAGCATTTGGACAAAACTGTTTCTTTTAATTGAAAATATTTATTTTTTAATTTTGGTAATAAATTAATTAAAAAAAGTTTTTTGTTTAATTTTTTGGTAAAATTTAATTTTAATTTGTTTTTATGACCTTTGTTATTAACATTTCTTCAAAAAATTTATTAAAATAAATTTTGAAGGATAAATTCATTCTTGAAGATAATAAGTTTAAGGATCACCTTGGCATACTTTGATGAAAGTGCAAAACGTTTTGTGAATATTTTCAGTCGATATTCTTGACATTCCTCTTATCTAAACTTGAAAAAATAGAAAACTTTTTTTCCATTTCCAAAAATGGAAGGACTGGAAGGAGTCGGGGGAATTGAATTTATGAATTTAAGTCCTTTTATTATTTTTATTTAAATTCAATCAACATTTTCTTCAATTAATTAATTAATTAATTTAGGTAATATTTATTTTTTAATTAATCATCCACATACTTTTTCCCTTTTCTTAAATTTATTTATTCCTTTCTAAACTTTCTTGTTGTTCCGCGCTGATTATCTACTATTTATTTATTATTAAAGCTTGTATTTATTTATCCCTTCTCTCTCTAATTTCATTTTCTAAAAATCTATTTATTTAAATCTTTTCTATAAAAATAAATAGATTTTTATATTACCAACAATCCCCCCAAATATATCCTTTATATAAATTTATTTTCTCGTAAAGAATTTTTCTTATGAGATTGCTTCTGTTGATTATATGAAGAGTATTGCTGGAATAATAAATAAAAAATATTTTTTTTAATTTTTTATTTTAAATACTTTGGCAAGACTATAAAGTTTACCGATTTTAATTTAAATTATACACCACAAATATTTTTCTATCCAAAATAAAATATTTTAATTCCCCTCTCCCTCTCTACCAATAAAATACAAAAATATATTTATTCCTAAACAACAACAAAATCCCTCCTCCCCTCCCATCCCCTCCCCTCCCCTATATTCCTTTAATTGTTCACATCCTGCTTTCGCTCTTATATCCCCAAACTATTTATTTTTATCCCCAACATAAAATCCCTCAAAACAATTTCCTGCTTCACGAGAAAATAAAAGAGAAAATCGCGCGGCGATTTTTAAGAGAGAAAAGGAGAAAAGCTTCTTTCTTTTTTTTCAATCAAAAAATTTATTTTTATTTATTTATTGTCAATTCAAATAATTAATTATTTTATAAAAAATCAATGATCAATCTAAAATGTTGTTTTTTTGTTAATTAAATATACCCTAAGGCTACAATAATTATTTTTAAAGGCGTGAAAATAATTCTTGAAATAAATAAATATTCTTGTTTTTTTTAATTTTTTTTTATAATTTTCTAAAATTTAAGGGCAATATTTTGACTTAGAGCCCTACTTTTTTCCTGTTTTACTGACCGTTTTGAGCTTTTTTTACTTGATATATACTTTCTTATATATCATTCGAAAGACCTCTTCGAGTTTGGTCAATGATACCATTATCGGTTAGATGTGATGATTCTGATCATCTATGAAACTGAAGGTCCAAACTAAAGTATTATCTCAATTTATGTTTTAATTTGGAAAAGAAATTAATTAAAATTTTTAAAATTATATAATTTGACCAGTCAATTTCTTTTATTAAATTCTGATCTTACTTTTTTTTCTTTTAATTTTTTATTTTTATTAAAATATTTATTTTTTATTAAATTTATTTTGGCGGTCATTCATCGTCCCCTTATTTTTAATAATAATAAAATCATTCTAAAAATTCCTAACAATGTGTTATAATACAAAAAATATTTTTTTAATATTAAAAAAATATTTATTTAAATAAAAATCCTCAAAATTTTAATTTATTTTTCTAAAAATATAATATTTAATCCTTTATTTAGATTATAAATATTTTTAGATTAAATCTTTCTTTTTTCAAAAAAGGAATGTTCTTAATTCCAAAAAACGAGATTTAATAAATATAAATATATTTTGTGTTGCGAAAATATATTTTAATAATTTTTTAAAATAATTTAATAATTTTTAGAATAATTAAATAAAAAATTATTCTCACAAATTTTTATTAAATTCTTAATTATTTAAAAATATATTTTTAACTAAAAACGTTTTCTCTTAATTAAATTATAAAATTATTACAAAAATAATCTTTATCAATTTTAATTTGAAAAATTTAGTTTATTTTTGAGTTTAGAATAGTAATTTAAATAAATTAAATTAAACTTAGGTAATTCTTTTGTATTTTTTGAAACTTTTAAGTTTTGTCTATGCAACAAACAATTTATTTTTTCAAAGAAATAGATAAAATATTTAAATAATAAAAAGTAAAGAATAAAAATATTTTTATTTAATTTTATTTATTTGTTAGTTTAATGAAAAAAGCTTTCTTTTATTTATTTTTCTCTGCGGGAAATTTTGTGAATGTAAGGAAGTAAAGAAGTAATGTTATTTTTGCTTTACCTGTTTTTGCTTGTTTGTTGCTTTGATGGGGTAAAAAGAAAAGTTTTGGGTGTGTTGCTTTTTTGTTTTTTTTTTGTTAAAAATGAATTGGTAATTCTGATTTTGAAGGGGGGAGGGGGAGGGGGAATTAATTGTTTAAAAAGTTTTATTTGAATGTGGATAAATTTTTTAGTTTTTTTATCCTTAATAAAATTATCTAAAATATGTATTAATTTAAAAAATATTAAATCCTTTAATTACCTTTTAATTTTAAACTTTAATTTTTTTACCTGAAAATTCTTCTAAAATCTTCTACATACATTATTCATTCATTACTCATTTCCTGTCTATCAACTCAAATTATATAAAGTTTTACATTGGCGACGACATTGTTGAGTTGATAGCGGCGGTTCCGCTTTGCGCTATTTACACGACTTTTCTGCGACTAAATAATATATTTATACCTACCTATTCATTCTTTCTATCCAAAATTATTTAAAAGTTGATAGAATTTTGGGGAGGAATTTTTGTTTTTTGAGGAATTAAAGAAATTTCCAATCCTATTTCCAAGCAGAATTGCGTCATAATTACGAATTACGATTACGGAAGAAATTTTTGATTACGACGCAAATCTGTTCCCGAGCAGAGTCCAGTTATAATTATTTTTTGATTATTTAGTTTCTTTTCCGAAATTCTATGGCAAGTTTAGATCAAATAATCAAACACTACTAGTTCAATTATTTTTAAATAACTTGCAAGTTTTTATATTTTGTTTGGATTTTCAATGTTAATTTATTACAAAAAATTAAAAAAATATTTTTCAATTCTTTACCAAAAATTTTTCTCTAAATTTTTAATTTAAATACTTTTTTACTTTTTTTTGTATAAATACATAGTATTTAGTTAGTTAAAGTTAACTAAAAAATATATTTACGCAATCATGCAACCATTAAAGGATTTTTTTTCTAGTTTTTGTTTCTTTTTGTTATTTTACCGCTCATTCAAAAAATACTTTTTTATAGCATTTTTATTTTATTTTTTATATATGTATGTATCAAAAATTAAATTAAGAATTTTTTGAATAATAAAATATATAGAATTTTATTAATCGAAAAATTAGGGTTTTAAAGATATGTGAATGAGAGAGTGTCATTGAACACATAAGAATTTTTCCTTATTTATTTGAAAACTCAAAATATCTAGGACAAAATCTATCCTTGTTTTTTTTTAATTTCTACTTTAATTTTTTAAATTAATTTTTAAATTTTAATTTATTTTTCCAACAAAAATTATTCTATTAAAAATATAATTTTATTTTTCCTTTTAAAATCAATTTAAAAATAATATTATTCTAAAAATATAACCAAATATTGCTCAAAAATACTCAATGTTATTACTAAAAATCCACGTTTTAAATGATTACATTTAAATATAACTTTAAATATTTTTATTTATTTTCATTATAAAATAGAATATATTTTTATATCTAATTTATTTTTTACTCTTTTTTCCTTTTTTGTATTGCGTGAAGAGGTCAATTATTAATAGAAAAAATTGAAGAGAAGTTTTTAAGTTGCAAATACTTTACGTGAATATATACTTAGCTAAACAACAATAGAATTCTAATTAAACAAAAAAATATATTTAAAGAAAGTATCACAACTAATTAATTTATATTTTCTAGAAGTTATGGCGCCAATCATTCGCTTTTTTAGTGTTTAGTCATTTTATTTTAATAAAAATTCCTTCGCATTCCAAAAAATAAATAAATAAATATTTAATTCTTTTTAGTCATTTTTGTCAACTATTGTATAACAACTGTTCTAAATATATATTGAATCATATAAAATATTTATTTAATTTTTAAATTTAAATTATTAAAATTATTACTAACAAAAAAAAATATCTCTTAAATAAGAAATAAACTAAAGGGAGTTTATTTAGTGGTAAAGCGAGAAAGGAAGGAAAAATGAGGAATTAAATCCTCTTCCATACTATTTCTTTGGATCAATCAGACCTGTGCATGGATACGGATATGGATACCAAAATCCGTATCCATGCACAGGTCTGGGATCAATTATTAATTTAAAAAATCCTTTTTTAACCTCTTATATCATTTAAATTTATTTAAATTTTTAAACTTATGTTTAATTAACCATTTAATAATATAATGTAAATACTTACTCTTTATTTAATATTTTTGATCATTATATTTTTTATTATCAATTTATTTTATTTTTTTTACTTGTTTAGTTGTCGATCCGGGTCATTAGAAAAAATATTAAAAAAAAGAAGCGCAAAATATCCAAAAATATATTTTAAACCAGGTAGTTATTATTTAAAAAAGGATTTTTTTGTGAATGGCGGCGGCTTTTGTGTGTAAATTTGTGGTAGAGAGAAAAAATAAAAGATTTTTCGGAGAGTTTTTGGTGAATTGGATTTATTTAGAATATTTATTTATTCAAAAAATACAACGAAAGGGATATAATAATAATATAAATCAATCAATTCCTCATCAAAAAATTTTATTTTGGTATTTTGTAGGTACAAAAATTTTTAAATTAATTATTAGCTTTGGGGGCTGCAATTTGTAACGAAAAAATTAATAAAAGAGCTTTATGAAGTAGCATGAGGTTAATGAAAGTAAAAAATTTTTTATCCAAAAATTAAATGTGGGATCAAAAATTGACTAGTGAATTTTTGTTTTTGAGCCTATACATATAGGGTAAAAATTTTAGAAGGGGACTTATTTTAGAAAACTTACAGCAGATTAATATTATTTTCTGGACTTTTAGTCCATAATTAAATAAAATTATTGACAAATCAAAGAATAACCGATTAAAAATTTATTCTCCATTCTCTTAACATTTAGTAACTAATTCTTAGTATTTTAATTGCTGTTTTATTAATTTATATTTCCAAATTATTATTAATTAAAAAATATTCTTTAAATAATTTTTATAAAACATCATAACGTAAAACAAAAAATTTTCAACAAAATCAAGCAAGTTTTATAACCCTCTCTCCCTTTAACGCCTTTGTAATACCCCTTTTTTTCTTCTCCGATCACCGCTAACACAATCATTCCCATTCATTATTTTTATTCACTCATTTATTGTCCAGTTTATATTTATTGCTAAACGAGCAGAATTTTTAACTTTTTTGTTACTAAAATTTGAACGATTTTTTTGGAGATTCGTCAAGAGTTTTTTAAAAATATTTTCAGTAATAATTTCCCTTTTATTCACCCAAAAATTCTAAAATCACTAGAGAACCATATTGAGAATGTCCATAAATTGGAGTAATAATTTATTTATTTTTTGTGTTAATGCTACTTATACCTACCAAAAAATTTTTTTTTAATTTACAGAAAAATCTAAATATTTATTATTTTTTAATTAATTAAAAAATGATCCCTTCAACAACAAAAGTTCATTCAACAACAAATGAACATCAACAACACCAACAACCTTCATTTATGACAACAATGTCAATTACTACAACCGGTAGAAGCAGTGAATGTCGTCGAAGGAGAAGAAAGAAGGAAGAAAAAAGCAGCAAAATAAAAAATGTAGGTAGACTAAAATAATTTATCAAAATTTTTAGGTAAAAAGTAAATTTAAAAAAGTATCGAAACATCGAGTTTTTTCTAAAGTTTTTATGTATTTATTTATTAAAGGAGATAGTACATGCCGTATTTCCGCGATAGAGTCCCACCCTCTAATAAAGCCCTACCCTGTAATAGAGCCCCATTCTGGAGAACAGTTAAAAAAAATAGAGCCCCATGGGGTGTATAAAGGAAATACGGTAATTTATTTTAATTTCTTGTCAAAAATAAATAAATTGGCATTCTGTTATTTTATTTTTTCTCTGTAATTTAGAGAAAAATATTTTTGACTGTCTGACTTTTTTGATTTTTAATTTTTCAAATTTAATTTTAAAATTATTTTTTAAATGCCTAATTAATTATTTACCTCTTTTAAATGCTAGTCAGTAAAGAAGATCTCCAAAATTTAAATAATGAAATTACTCAAAATTTGTTAGAAAAAAATAATTTAAAAAATAAAAATAATTTTTTAAATTTATTTTATTTTCCTTTTATTATTTTAATTAAAATATTTAATTTTAAACAAATTAAAGTAATTTTCTTTAATTTTAATTTAATTTTTATTTTTTAGTTTTTCGATAATTTACTTGTTGGGAAAAGCGATCCTTCAGATTTTTCAAAAGCATGGAGGAAAAAATTTTCGAAACATCCGTCTTGGTGCGATGCAGATATGTGCCTTCAACAAATTAATTCTGTGAGGGAATTTTTTTCTTTTTAGATTTGTTTTTAAATTTTTATTAGAGATCGAGCTTTTTGAAAAGCCTGGGCCTGTAGTTTAGGAAAAACACAGGAAGGTCAAAAAATGCCCAGGCCTGGACTCTGGGTACTGAAAAACCCAGGCCTTGGACCAGACCCAGCTCGATCTCTAATTTTTATTTTCAGAGAAAATTTTTTGGGTATGTTTTCTAAAAACAAAAATATTTTCAAAATTTTTTCAAAAATATTTTTAAAAAATTTAGGGCAATGCTTATGGCAACAGACTAGCTTTATATTCCCGTGCTCTCTTCCAAAAAGCCCTTTTCCATTTGGGCAAATTTGTTCAAAAATGGCCAAAATCAATTATTGTGTTGGGAATTATTGTTTTATTAATTTGTTGTTATTGGCTAAAGGATGTTAAAATTGAAACGGATTTGGTTAAACTGTGGGTAGAACGTAAGGAATTTTGAATTTTTTATTAAAAAATTGTCTTTATTTTTTATATACAACAATTTTTTAAATTTTTTTTCTGAACTTCTACACCTTTTAATTTTTTTATTTTTTAATTTTTGTGTCGAAATTTTGATTTATTTTTAAAACACACAAAATTATTTAGAAAAATTTTTTTTGCTAAAAAAAGTCTAAATTAATCAGAAAATTATTTAAATATAAAATAATTAAATTTCAATATTTTTTAGAAGGAGGTAGATTAGATGAAGAAATGGCATTTTTGCCAAAGTCGAAAGAAAAATATTATTTACAAAAACAATTAAGAGAAGAAAAACAAATAAATGGAACTGAAGAACACAGAAAAAATAAAAAGAGAGAGGCCGTCAGAGTTTCTGAAATTCCGACAGATTCGGCTAATTTTGGAGGAGGTTTTCAGGTTTTTATTTAATTAATTTTATAATCCTTCTCTTAATGATTTAAATATTTTTATGGCCCTCTCCTTTTGAAAAATTTCTTAAAATAAATATTTAATGAAATTTTTTTGTTTAAAAAAGGTAGTAATTCAAACACCAGAACACCCAAATATGAATATGCTTACAAGAGAAGCGTTAATTAAACATGTTAATATTTTGGAACAAATTGCTAATTATAGTGTAGAAGTTTTTGGAGAGTTAGTTTTTTTTTTGTATTATAAATTTTAATATTTTGTTAACTTTTTGGCGTTAAAAGTATCATTAGAGGTAAAAATTACGTCATAATGCCGTGGAAATATTGTAGTATGCGGATTTAAGGGAAGGTTACTAATGAATATAAACTCTCTACGAAACGCCAAAGTAAACGACAAAATTTACTTTGGAAAAAAATTAACCCCCTCCTCCCTAAATATACTCGCTGTCCACGACTTTGGTTTTGACTCTATATTATTTTAATTTTCGTCTCGTAATTTTTTACATATTTTTCAATTTTAGGACTTGGTATTTGTCTGATATTTGCTTCAAACCGCCACCTCCCACAGCCTCAAAAGATGTTTTGTCGCAATTAATTGAAGAAATAATGGCACAAATAATTCCTTGTGTTTGGATAACACCTATAGATTGTTTTTGGGAAGGTTCTAAACCTTTGGGGCCTTTTCCTCCGCTCGATTTGTTTGTTTTTTTTAAACTTTATTTTAGGGAACATTACGTTATTTTTTTATAATTTTTGGAAATATTTTTTGAATTCTGAATTATTTTTGAGATTTTCTAAAAATTTGTTTTGTAGATTTTTTGGCATATTATTTTAAAATATTTTTTAATAAATTTTTTAGAGGTCCAGCTGCTCAATTTGTTCCTTCAGTCTCTAACGGCCTTCTCTCATGGAAAACATTAAATCCAGAAAAATTACTTAATTCAGTTCGTTCACTTATTGATGTTACTATGGTTTCTGATTTATTTGAAAGGGTAAATATTTTTTTATTTTAAATATTTATTTTAGTTTTACTATTTTTTAAAATAAAACGTAAAAATATATTTTCGTCTGGGCTTTTTCAATGAAACGTTTCAAAGTTTTTTTATTTTTTAACTCAATTTTTCTATCAATTTTATTTTTTTATTTTTTAAATAAATTTAGTTGACAGCTACTTAGTTTAAATTAAAAACTTTAGTATTTTTTTAAATTATTTTTAAGACTAATTTACACATTTCACCCAAAGTTTTTTTGGCATCCAGCAAGGGCGTAGCCTGAGAGTTTGGCGCACACCCCCATTTTTCCCCCTGAAATCGACCCCCTGACTACGCCCTTGCCATCCAGTATTATAAAATTTTATTTAATTATTTTTTAAGGCAGGTATTGGCGCTGCATATCAAGACCGTCCTTGTATTGACCCACTCGATCCTGACTGTCCAAATTCTGCTCCAAATTATTTCGATCGTTGTCAAGCTTATGCAAAATTTAAAGAATGGAATAATGCTTTACCTGAACAAAATAAAATTAAATTGGAACAAATTTCTAAAAAGGAAGAAATTTCAAAGCCTTTAAGGAAAAGAGAAGTAACAGCAACAAATAATTCTTTAAATTTATTTTCAAATACTTCAAATAATTCAACAACAGATGATTTGGCAGATTATTATGATAATAATGATGATGATAAATCTGAAACTACGGAATCACCAGGTTTTAAATTAATTTAAAAAAGCAATCGCTTCGTCAATCACTCACCCAGGAATGGGAAAAATCCCACACCCAAAGTGGTGCGAACTTTTGCTTAAAATTTTTCTGTACACCTTCAATTCTATATCCAAGCAAAGGGAGGGTACTTCGAAAATTTTTGATAATATCTATTCCCTGTTTAATTTTCTATCATAAAGCCTTGATTCGATCCCCTTATTTATAAGTTGAACAAAGTTATGCCACAAATAAACTGCCCGGTTACTTTTTTGTCACCCTGTATATAAGCAGTCAGAATTTTTTTTCAATTTTGAAAAAATAAATAAATTTAAAATTAATCTGGTTATTTTTATAATAATCAAAACCTTTTTTCTTATTTCTAAAAATAATTTTCAGAAAAGAAATTACAAAGACAAATGTTGGAGGAATGTAACAAATATGGAATTAGTTTTATGAAATGGATAAATGAAAATAGAAGTAGATTGATGGAATTCTTGTCAGAATCTGATAAATCAATTTTACCTCAATATCCGAATTATGGCGAACAATTAACTGGTGGATGTAAAGGATTTGGAAAAAATAGTAAATTTAATTATTTAATAAAATAAGAATTTTTCCCTTCCTAGAGATGGACTAAAAATATTGGCCGGGGAGATTTATTACAAAATTTTTATTTTAAAATTTCAATCAGCCTCTCCTCCCTTCCCAATATTTTTTTCTTCTTAAAATTAATTTTTAAATTTTCTTTCAAGTAATGCACTGGCCAGAAGATTTAATTGTTGGTGGAATTGAGAGAGACTCTAATGGATTTATTCGACACGCAGAAGGATTCCAAACAGTTTTCTTAGTTGCTTCAGCTGGGGATGTTCAACACAGAATTTCTGTAGAATTTTTTAAACGATTTTAAAAATGATTGTTTTTTTATTTTTTTAGCATGCCAAATCACCAAATTATAAAACTAAAATTGACAAAAATCATTTTACTACAACCCATGCTTCTGTTATTATTCAGACATGGCAGAGAAGCTTTACTAAACGTTTATATGAACATGAATTAAATAAACCGGTTTTTCATTTAAATTTTTTAAATAATTTTTAAAATTTTTTAGAGTGAAGGCATTCGTGTTGTCCATCCATTAGCTTCCACATCCATTTCAGAAATGTTTGATTTTATAACTTTATATTTAAATTTTCTAAATTTCTACAGGTTAGAACAATTCAGCGAATTTCAATTTGGCACAATATTTATTGGATATATTTTAATGATTATTTATGCTGGGTGGTCTCAATTACAATGGGATGGATTTTGGTTTTCTTCACGTTCTAGTTGTTTATTAGCTGTTGTTGGTGTACTTATGGTAATTTTTTTTGAAAGATTATTCGATTGTCTCTTATTCCTTCATTATTTTTACACTTTCCGTCACCCGGCTTTTAAAGAAAATTGTTAAAATTTCATCTTTTTATTGCCTTTTTAAACATCTCTTTTATTTTTAATAAATTAAATACAAAATGTTTTTCAGATTACTTTTGCTTCAGTTGCGGGTCTGGGAGTTGCCACAGCCATGGGAATTAATTTCAATGCTGCAACAACTCAAGTTTTTATTAAATTAATTTTAAAATAATTTTTTAATTAAAAAAAAGATTGTTCCTTTTCTTACTTTGGGGCTTGGTATAGATGATATGTTTCTTTTACTTCATAATTATAATGATGTATTAGAAGCTGTTAAAGAGAAAGAAGTGGCTGTATTACTTAAGGAGACAGGAATGTCTATCCTCATAACTTGTAAATTTATATAAAAAATATTAAAATCAAATATATTTTTATAGCCATCAACAACATTCTTGCTTTTATCACTGGTTGTATTTTACCAATACCGGCACTTCGTTCGTTTTGTGGGCAGGTCGGACATTTTAGAATTCTAAAAAAAATTAATTTTCTATAGACCGCCATTTTATTAACATCCAACGTTCTCTGTATTATAATGCTCTATCCAGCATTTATTGCCCTAGATTTGAAGAGAAGAAAGGCTGGTTATCGTGATATGCTTTGCGGTGTTGATTACTGTTATCGCTTTGTTTCATCCCCAGCTAAACAAATTGTTGAACAACATCCATCTGGGAAAAGAAAAGTTAATTAGTAAATAATTTTAAATTATTTTTTAAAAAAAGTTGGAAGAAAGCAGTAGCCGAAATCAATTAGTCAAAACAGACTCCGATTCCCCTTCATTAAATAATCAATCAGAAATTGATTTACAACAAATGAGTGAATCAGTATTTGGAACAGGCCCAGCACTTAAAACAAAATTACAATTAAATTGTGAACACACAGAAAATAATTTTAATATAAAAAAATTTGTAAATAAATGGTTGACTTTGAATGGGTTTTTACATGAAGTTTATATTCCAACATTGAGGAAACCTATTGCTAAGGTAATTCGGAATTTGGACTTTTATATTTATAAATCATAATTTTTGTGTGTAAGGATTATTCACCTAGCAGCATTTAAAACGCCTAGGCGGGGGGTAAACGAACATAAGGATAAAAGAGAAAGCATTAGTTGTCGCTCCGGTAGTTCAGTGGTAGAACACTGTTGAGCAATGCCGAGCGAGTACTGTCAGAGTTGTCGCAGATTCTAATCCTGCCCGGTAGCTAAACTTGCTAAGCTCTTGTATATTTTCAGAATTTTCTTTGTTTTTAAAATCTTTTTTTTTCGAACTTTAATGTTTTCCGTTTATTCTTGAATATTTAATTTAAACAAACTTTTATTAAGGCAACCATTCTCTTCTGTTGTTCTTCAATGTTTCTCTTTGGTTGTATAGGCCTTTACCAATCAAAAATTGGTTTAGAATTAGCTGATGTTCTCCCTGAAGATACAGCTCCAGCTGCGTTTTTAAAAGCTAGAGAAAAATATTTTAGTTTCTATCCAATGTTTATTGTTCCTATGGGACCGGGTGTTGACTATTCTAGACAACAAAGAAAATTGGAACAATTGAGGGCTGATATTGGTTAGCTGATAGTGATTTTTGGAATTTAAATAATATTTTTAAGCTCAATCTGAATTTGTTATCAAAGCAGATGGAAAACCAGAAGCTTATTGGATGATGTAAATTATATTTAAATTTTTGTCTCAAAAATTCAGAAAAACTTTCCTTCAATTTTAGATTTATGCGTACTTGGCTTCATGCACTTCAAGCACATTTAGACAAAGCTCGACGTGTTGGAATTCAACCAACTGATAGTCTTATTCAAATTGCCGCCTCTTCTTTAGCTATTAACTACACACTTGTTGATGACTTTTATTTGGCTAGAAGATTACTTTGTTCTAGGGGAGAAGAATATAATTGTTCTAATAAAGTAAATAAATATTTATTTTTTTGTAAATTTATTTGTTTTAGTTACAAACTCGACTTATTGACTCTGAGGATATTATTGATTCTGCTGGATTTTACAATTATTTAACTGCTTGGTTTCATTTAGATAATATGATGTAAATTTCTTTTTTAAATTAATTATTTAATTTTATTTCTCAGGTATTATGTTTCTCAAGCAGGCTTTTTTCCAACTCCTCCAGGATGGCGGTTTGTTCCTTCAGTAAGTTCTTTGTTTTGTAATCTCTAAAATTTTATTTTTAATTTTAGGAGGAAGGTGTTGTCCCTCAAGCAGAACCTTTAATTTATTCTCAAATTCCGTTTTATATGAATGGATTGACTGAAACACCTGCAATTGTTCAAATGGTGAAATTTATAAAAGAAAAATTATTTTTTAAATTATTTTAATTAAAGATTAAAGAAATCCGTGCCATTTGTGATCGTTATACGAATGAAGGGTTCCCTGTATATCCTACTGGTATTCCATTCACATTTTGGGAACAATATTTGCAATTAACATTTTATTTGTTTGTCTCAATTTTGGTAAAATTTTTTGAGAAAAATTAAAAAAAAATATTTTTTATTAGACAATTGCAACGGCAGTTCTCTTGGTTATCTCTGTTATAATTGTAAAAAAATTCTAAAAATTTTAAGAACATTTTTAAAAATTTTTCTAGTTTAATCCTTGGGCAGCTGCAATGGTAGCAATTATTGTTGTGTCGATGACTGTAGAATTAGCTGGATTTATGGGATTATTTGGAGTTAAAATGAATCCAATTTCAGCAGTTACTTTAATTACAGCTGTTGGAATAGGTGTTGAATTTACTGCACACGTTGTTCTTGCTTTCCTTACTTCTCTAGGTACTAGAGATGAAAGGATGGTTTCTTGTTTGGTAAAGAAATTTGAAAGAAAAATATTTTAAAATATTTTTATAAAGGATCATATGTTTGTTCCTGTAATTCATGGTGGTCTTTCAACCCTTTTAGGCATTGTTATGCTTGCCTTTTCTGAATTTGATTTTGTTGTTAAATATTTTTTTGTTGTAATGTCTGCTCTAGTTATTATAGGATTAATTAATGGGTAATTAAATAAATATTTTTTAAATTAAATATCCCTTTAAATTTTTAGTTTAGCTCTTTTGCCAGTACTTTTGTCACTTATTGGGCCTCCTTGTGAGGTAGAAAAATAAAATTTAAATAATCCAGAAACTTCCTTCTTTTCAATTAAAGATAACACCTTTTGATGGTGATGGCACTCAATTAGCTTGTCCTTTATCTAAACGACATAGTAGTTCTAATAGCAGTAATAGTGGTAGAAGTAGTGTTGTTAATCCTTTTATGATAGCACTTCCACCTGATTCTGATATGGAAAAACAAAAAGTGGATGCTTTAAATGTAAAAAATAATTTTTTAAAATTATCTTTCTTTGTTCAGAATTGATTTTTGATTAATTTTCTGTTTATTTTAAATTTATTCAATTATATTCTAATTTAATTTTTTAAGGGTCTTAAAACAACTCAAAATCCAAATAATAATGCTCCTAGTTGTTCTTCTTCCTCTTCTACCTCTTCTTCAGAAGCAAGTCTCAACTCTTCATCATCATCTCCAACTTCAAGAAGTTCTGAAAACAAAAGACAAAACGAAGAAAAACAACAACAATCAACAATACATAATTATCACGAATCACTTTCTACATTATATGAAGCATCTACAAATACAAGTGGTGCTGAGGAAAGTATTAATGAAAAAATAAAAACAAAATAACATTTAATTTTCTTTTATTTTCTCAATCTTTTACTTAAATATATTAATTCTCCCACTTAATATTTAAATTAGAAAATACTTCTTTCAAAGATATTAAAGGTATTTTTTTGTAAATACTCCATTTTTCCGGTAGATTTCCGATTATCTAACTCCAAATTATCATAATTTTACCCTTTCATTACCCTACAAAATTTTCCTATTCGTAATTCATAATTTATGAATAAATGACGTGAATTTAATTTAATTTTTTCTTGTAAATAGTCGGTTTTTAAATGTGCTTTCTTTCTTGTTTATTTTTATTAATTATTTTTGTAAATATTTTTTTTATTAATAGTGAATGATTTTTTGCCTCATTTGCTCATATTAAATATTTTATTTGAATATACAAATAATTTTAAGAATAAATATTTTAATAAATTTACTGTTTATATATTCAATTCAATTCAATTCAATTTATACGCATAAAAACGTGACATTCAGATAAAATAAATAAAAATGTATCAATTGTTTTATATAAGGTCTGGAGGCAATTGAATGGAAAGTGGCTTTGATAAAACATTGTTTAAGTTAATATTGTTTAGGAGCTTTGGAAACAATTCGATTGACGATTTTTGTAATTCTGTTGGGAGTTTTCTGTAAATGTTTGGGATGTCTATAAAGAATGAGTTTTTCCGAATGGTGCTTGAACAAAAGGGTATAAATAAATTATGCGGGTTACCTCTAGTAGTGGTAGGGAGAATGCTGAATGAATTATCATGTTTTAATTTAATTTTGCCTGAGATAATATTATGGAAAAGGATAAGATTTGATTTTAAACGTCTGTGCGATAGAGATTCAAGTTTAAACAGGTCAAGGAGTTCTTTATAATTAGGTAATGTTGGGCTGTTATTGTGTTTCATAGAGCGTAAGTATAATATTTTTAAGAATTTATGTTGAACATTTTCTAAAGAGTTTATATCTTTATTTAAATAAGGGTTAATTATAGGAGATCCGAATTCGAGGATAGGTAAGACGTATATTTTGAATAAAGTAGTTAGGAATTGAGTGTTATTAGTTTTAAGAGATCTTATAAGAGTATAATAAATTCCAGTTGCTTTATTTGTTATTATTTTAATGTGAGAATCCCATTTTAAGTTTGATGTAAAATAAATGCCTAGATCACGAATAGGTTCGTTGGGTGGAATGATTGGTATATTTATGTTTTGTAGAGAGTATTGGTGGAAGGGATTTTTAGTTCCTATGTGGAGTGAGCTACATTTGCTGATAGCGATTTTAAGGCCATTTATTTCGCAGTATTTTGAGAATTTTTGGATAAATGTTTGGAGTGGAGAATAGTGGTTTTTATTTGGAAAATCAAAGCAGGTATAGGCCTTTAAATCGTCAGCAAATAATTTGGGTGTAACATTATCTGTCTTACAGAAATCTATTATATCAAATATATATGAGATGAATAAAATAGGGCCGAGGATTGATCCTTGAGGAACTCCACTTGTTATATGATATTCATTAGAATTTTCAGATTCGACAAGTATGTATAATAACCAATATACATATATATTATTATGTATAATAACCAAATTTCAACTGTAGTTTAATGTTTTAACAAAACTTAACATTTAAAGAGAACTCGACAAACAACTAAAAATTCGAATCTTCATTAATTTATCTATTTTATTATATGTACTATATAAAAAATTACAGAATTTTTTATTATATAGAATTTTTTTATATATAGATAATCTTTATAAAATGTAACCACTACTGTCCATATCCAACAGGGGGTGCCAGTTTCTTAGCAGAATTTCTTTTCTTGTTTTTAAATTTGTCTTTCGTATTTTCACTTTCCACCTTTTCAACGTCTTCCATATCCATAATTGGGAGGATATCCGTTAGGACTAGCAGCTGGATATCCATAGCTATTAGCATAATTATTTCCGCCATATCCTCCACTAGTCTGGCCATATCCATATCCTCCACTAGGTCTACCATATCCATATCCACTAGGTCTACCATATCCATATCCACTGGTTCTGCCATATCCATATCCACTGGTTCTGCCATATCCATATCCACTGGTTCTGCCATATCCATATCCTCCACTTTGTCTTACAGGATAGCCTCCAGTGTCGCCTCTGTGCACCAACTAAATTAGTGTTCTTAACTTGTGATGTTAACAACCCGAGACAATAAAAATCCTTAACTAAGTAAGGACATCAATTTTTAGAAAAATCCTTTAAAATTTTTCTAGTTTGAAATAAGCAAAACTAGACTTATGCAAAAAGTCAAAAATTGATAAAAATTTGAAGATTTCGGCTATTTCTTAGCGCAACTAGTTACTTATTATAAATACTACATATTCTATTTCTATTGTCCAAAAAAATTAATTTAAAAAAACTAACCGCCCATCCGATAGGTCCATATTTATATGGATTGTAGGCATTTGTAATTTGAAATGAAATCATGGAGATGATAAGAAAAAGTGTCAAAATTGTCGACATTTTCAATTTTATTTTAAATAAAATTTGTAGTGACAATTAAAAAAAAATTACTAAATTTTGAAATATATTTACTAACTTTTTAAGACTTTAATTTTTATTTATATTTAGTTTAAATGTCTAAATATTTTTAAAAAATTTGACAAATAATCCCTTAAAATAAATTCTCCCAAGTCCAAGACAAAAAAAAATTTTTTTTTAATAATTCTGAAAAATATTAAACAATATATTTTTTAATTTAAATTAAATAAAAAATTTAAATTTATTTAATGAAAATTAATAAGAGATAAGGAACGTTTAAATAAGTTTATTAAAAAACTTTTTAAATTAAATATAGACCGGTTAATTAATTATATTTATACCTACATAAGTATATGACTTTAATTTTGCCTAATTTATTATTTAAAATTTAAAAAATTAAAAACAATTTTTATTTCTTTTTTTTATTTCTTCAATGTCCTTTTAATTAATTTTTAAATTAAAAATTTTTTATTTCCTTGTTTTAATTTCAAGAAACAATAACATTAAATAAAATAATAAAAATTCAATTTTAATAAACAGATAAATAAATTAAATGTCTACGTCTTTTAATTAATTAATTTTAATTTTCTTCTTTTATTTAATAAAATAAATTTAAATTTAAAAATTTTTGTCCTCCTTTTCAATATTGAACAGTTTGGGTTACTTCACAAATGTTAAACTTTTAAATTCAAATTATTTTTTAGGTAGGTGTATAGAAAAGAGAGTTGATTTAAAAATTCCTTTTAATTTATTTTTAATTTAGGTAAACTATATTTATATAAGAAGTCTCTAAAGAAACTTTCAAGAATTTGTAAAAATTTTTAAAAAATGAGTAAGGAATAAAAATATTTTTTTAAAAAACAATTTTTAAAAATTATTTATTTAAAAAAGGAATGAATATAAAAAATTTAAATTAAAACCCGAATGATTATTATTTTTTAAATTTGTTAAATTTCGAAAATTTAGAAAAAAAAATAATTTTTTTATAAATTTCTTTTCGAAATTCTAAAAAAATATTTTTTAAATAAAAATCATGGCCATTTTAAATAAAAAACAAAAACAAAAAATATCCAAAAAAATTATTTTTCTTTTTTCCAATTTTATAAACCACTTTCAGCTATCCCCTCATCGATATCTTCATCTTTAAAAAATCCTTCATTATTATGAAAATTTTGGCGATTTTGTTGTTGTGAATCTATTCTTGGGGATTTTTGTTGGTGAAAATTTTGGAAATTATTTGTTGTTGTTTGCCAAAAATTATTATTTTCTCGATTATTTGTTGTTAATTGTGGAGAACTAGTTATTGGTGAAGAATATGAACAAGTAAAGGGTAAATGTCCGTTATTATTTGAAGAAAATGTTGGGGGAAAGGAACGTTTTCCAGGTGAAAATTGTTGGGAATTTAATAATAAAGAATTTGTGGTTGTTGTTGTTGGGGTAGGGGGAATTATTGTTGTTGTTATTAAATTGTTGGTAGACAAAAATGGATAAAAATTTTCTAGAACGTAATGAAGGCATTGATGGATAAATATATATTGTTGCTAGTAAAGTTTAAATAATTAGGTTTAAAATAAAAATAGATATTTTATACTTCATTTTGCACCATATGACAACGTTCAAGTCTCATTTCGAAGACAGCCCCAAATACATCGATAGGTTTACCACATTCTGAAAATTAAAAGAAAAATTCTGAAATTTGTTTTGAATTAATTTTAGAAAATCAGAAAATAAATACACGATTAGAAATACAATTAATATTCTGATTTTTGAAAATAAAATAGAAAAAATAAAATTAAAAATCAGAATTAATCGTATTTTTTATATTTCTGTAAAATCAGAATAAACAAAAGAGAAAAACACTTTATCAGAATGTGTTTATTCTGATTTATTAAAAATACAAAATCAGAATTTATTTAAGGAAATTAATTCTGATTTTGTATTTTTAGTAAATCAGAAGAAACACATTTTGTATTTCGTAAATGTGTTTTTTGTTTATTCTGATCTTAAATATTTAATTACCCTACCAATATGTTGAATAAGCCTATCCAATGCAATAAAAGTTCCAGAACGGCCAACCCCTGCAGAACAATGCACAATGGTTGGTTTATTGGAAGGAGAAGGAGGTAATTTATTGCGAAATAAACGTGCAAAATGAACAATTCCAACGGGGTGTTCTTTAAATTTAAAAATATGTATAATTATATAATTAATTTATTTATTAACCAGGTACTCCAAAATCGGGCCACGCCTAAAAAATAAAAGAAAATTTTTTCAAAAAATTTCAAAAATTCTTTTTACTTGATAATGTAAATGTAAAACAGTTCTGGGCTGTTGTCCAGGTTCTGAAAGGTTTGTTAAACGTAATTCTCTTATTGTAAATTCTTCGTAGTCAATTGATTCTGTTAATAATGTGACTTCAATGTCCGCATAAAGAACACTTCTTTGGCGGTTATCTGGCCAATATCTGATTAAAAATTAAATTTATAATTTTTTTCAGTCTGGATAAATAAAAAATTTTTTCTTTCATTAAAAAACAAACATTTTTAAAAAATAAAATATTCTACTACTGTAACAGAAAATCGGATTAAAATTATATTTATAAAAATATTATTTATTATTATATCCTTTTTTTATAAATTAAATACAAAAAATTATTTTAAAAATATATTTATATTAAATCCTTTCCATTTTTTGTGCTAATATATTTAATTTAAAGAAAAATATTTAATTTCAAAACCACTTTAATTTTTTTATATTTATTTACTTCCAGAAAGTATACTATATGCTACTACTATATTTTTTATTATTTTATTATTGGAGGAAGAAAAAAACAAAAAAATTACTGATGGCATTTATCCCGTCCTTTCTCCACACATTTTGTTAACGCTATAATTGCTGGTACTTGTTGCTCCCAAACTAATCGCCAAAAATGATCACGAGCTAAAATTAAATATTTATAAAGCAGTTCACTCCGAGCAAAAATCGGATGGAGCTAAAATTTTAAAATGTGCGGAGCCGGAGCTTAAATTCTTCATTTCTCCGGAGTTCCGGCCATACACCCCTAAAGCCCGCTGAAAGAAAGGTGGCTCTTTGGCTTTCTAACTCACATCAGAGCCAAGCCCAACATAAAGTGACTCCAAAATACAGGCCCGGGGCGAGAATGGGACTCAAAACCAGACCCGGAGAATTTTCTTTTCAAAACCCGAACCGACTTTTTGTAGATTGGCCTTCTAAAATTCTTGAAAACATGCTTTAGACACCTAAACAAAAAGAAAATTCCATTACCAATCTCAACTCAGCCCGACCCCAAAGATCGGAGCCTGGGCCGAAACTTTAAAAAATGTGCACTTTTTTAAAGTATATTAATTTTTTAAAATATTTATAAGCTTTATAAGTACTTGAAGGCAAAGGTCCTTGTGCAGCAATAAATTCACGACGAGAATTAAAACCAGGAATATATGATGCATTAACATAATCAGAACTATTTAAATTTAAAAAATCAGAATTCTTTAAAATAATAAACTACCCATCATCGTCATCTGTCTGTTTCAATTTTACACGAGAATGATCATATGGAAGAATATTTGTGAAACGATTTTTTGGTCTATTCGGGGCTAAATCTGCAGCAATACAACTCTGACCTAAACCGACACTTCGTAATTGTTCATATTCTTCGGAAAATCGAAAATCAGAATCTGCAGACATTAAACGAACATGTTCTGAAATAAATAAATTCTGATTATTGTATTAAATACATATAAAACAAATTCTGATTAAATCAGAATTTACGGAACATTTTTCAAAAAAATTCTGTTAAATTTTATAAAAAAAAATTTCCTTGTAATACATAAATACAAACAAAAACAATGTCCCAAGACAAATAATTAAAAAAAATACCAACCAATAAAATCACTAATTTGCACCGGACGACTACGTTCTAGCGGAATATTTCCATTTTTGAGCACCGTCCATAAAAGTGTGGAATGTCTTTGGCCAGGAGGGGGACCACTTGGCAATCGTGCCAAACGTTGATCGACTCCTGTCCGTTCACGCAAACTTTTCGATCTAAAAAAGAAGGGAATTGAAAATAAATTTGTAAAAGAAAAATTGAAAATTTAATATTCAAAATTTAATAGTTGAAAATTTTGAAGAATATTTTATATTCTAAATACTTTCATTCAAAATATAAAATAAAAATGAGGTAATCAATTAAGATATTTGATCGGTATTCATTATATCATCGAAAGTCTATCGGAAGAATGGAAATCTGAGCTATTCCAAATGTTGGGACTTGGAATTGGAAAATCTTTCAAGGAAATCCGACAGTCATTTGGAGTAAAAGATTACAAAGGATTGGTTGAATAATCGGAAAATTAGTCAAAAAATATTTTTATATAAATTTATTTTTTTATTTTCAATCACAAATTTTCTCAAAGTTAATTCCCAGAATTTCCACAAAAACTACCTTCTATGATGTGGAGCACCAAAAAGTAATTGATCCTGATTCCCCGTTCCACCACAAAGCACATAACCACCTCCATTTGATAAATGTTGCTGCTGTGAAGGAGATGAGGAAGAAGGGGAAGAAGAAGAGGAAGAAGCTGGGGAGGAACAATGTGATAAATTAGAAGAAAGTTGCTTTCCAAAATTTGAGGAGGGGGAATTGACAGAAATTGTTTGTTGGTGGTGTTGTTCATCTTTCCCCAGGGATGATAAAGATTGAGTGTTTGTTGCTATAGTTGATGGAGGTGGAGGAGGAGGTGGTGTGGGCTGTTCTAAGCCTAATTTTGCTAAACAATCAGCCTAAAAATGTTTTTAAAATTAAAAGAATATATCACTTAAAAATTTAACAATACATTTTTATTATAAAGATAATTAAATTTAATTTTAAAAACTAACCGCACGTTCAGCCATTATCATCTAAATAAAAGTTTTTTTATTCTTGAAATTAGTTTATGAAGTCTGTATTCTATAAAGAAATTAATGCAGACCCTAGACCAGAGGTCGGTCGGAATTCCGATTTCCGACTTTTGTGCCATTCCGATTCCTACAGTTCCGATTTCCGGCACCTTTGTTATTACCGACCGACCTCTGCCTAGACCTCAATTTTATAAAAAATATATGAAAAATGCCAGAAAATTTAAACAAAACTATTAAAGGTAATAAACAGTGTTTCTGATTTTACAATTAAGGTGGGCGGATCCGGATCCGAAAAAGGCCGGATATCCGAAAACTTCGGTTCGGATATCGGATCCGGATATCCGAAGATTTCCCAGGATCCGCCACCCTTAGTTACAAAAAGATTATTGTTTTAACATATTTTTTTATTTTAGTTAAAAATTATTTTTTTTCAATTTTCTTGCCTTAAGCACGTGCCACTGTCCTTCACTTTTATTACTTCTTGTTGTGCCGTTTTGTCTATTATTAAAATTATTTTGATTGTTATTTTTGTTGCTATGTTTTTGACGTTTTTGTGGACTTTGATTGCTAAAATGAAAAATAATTTTGAATTTATTTGTGACGTAAAAATAAAAAAAGAAAAATTTAAAGAAAAAGTTCTAAAGACAAATAAAATTATTTAAATGGTAAAAATAAGAAAAAAATAAATATATTTCCTGTACGAGAATTATTTTAAATTTTTATCGAATATAAATAAATATGAAGATAAGAGTTTATAATTATTTAACGAATATTCACTCAAAAATAAAGAAAAACATCAAATTATCCAGAGAAGTATCTGAATAAAAATAAAATAAAAATTTAATCTCCCTAAATAAAATGAACACGAAAGAAAATTTAAATAAATTTTTGAAAATTTTAAATTGAAATTTTTTGTTTGTTTACGAAAAAATATTAAAATTATGAATATTTTAATAATATAAAAAAGATATCTTTCATAGTTTTACCAAAAATAGAAAACAAATTAAAAATTGTATCTGAATAAAATTAAAAATAAATCTAAAATAAACAAATTGAAATATTTAAATAAACAATTTAAAGTATACATTTAAAAAAGAAGAGAGCTCATTATTAAGCTTGGCGGATCCGGATCCGAAAAAAGGCCGGATATCCGGAAATTTTCGGTTCGGATACCGGATATACAAAGATTTCCAACTATCCGCCAACCATACTCATTACTTACTTTACAACCAAAATAGATAAATATTTGAATTATTCAAATTTGTGTAGAGTTTTGCGGGATTAGACATCCTCGCTCTAGAAAAATCTCAAAATCCTCGAGAAATTTTTTGAAAATTAAAAAAAAAGCTCAAGATAAATCTAGTTTCTTGTAAAATCAAAAAATTCAAAATACACCACTTTTAAAAGTACAAAGTATAAAATAAATTTAGAATAAATATTATATCCAAAATGTTGCTATATAAAAAATAAATAATTTAAAAATTCAACGACAAAATTTAAAAGAAATCTTGTAAAAGTACAAATTATTTACATAGGTATGTACAGAAGGTAGCAGGGAGGGGGGACTATTTTAAGTGTTTTATATGTATATATTTAATCTTTTTTTATCACAAAAAAATAAATCCTTTTTTAAAGAAAATTAATGCTTTTAAATGTTAGGATTGGGGAATTGAGGTTGAACGGAGATGAAAGGTTTTGGATGGGAAAATTATGTTTTAAAGACATTTTTTGGGTGTATGAAAGTCCAGAATTATTATATTTATGTAAAAGAAGAGGGAATTTATGAAAAATAAATTGAAATTAAATTTAAGTACCGTAAATGCTCTAATAGAAGCAAAGTTTCTATTTGAAGCAATACCACGAGAGGATCGAAAAATAGAAGCAAATGTGTTCAATTAGAGCATTTAAGGTATATTCTGTTAATTAAAAATTTAAATAATTTGGAAAAATCTTTTTAAAAGAGATTTTTTCTTATTTAACTGCTATTTACCTGCTATTACGTAAGATAAAATTTCCTGACTTTTAACTAATCAAAAAAAATAATTAAAATTTTTGGAACAAAATTAAAATTACAAAAAAAAGTTAATTTAAGAATTTTTATAGTTCTGCGAATATTTGGGGATATCAACAGGCAATTAACACAATTTCTCTCTCTCTTTTGAGCACTCCTTAAAGAGAAAATAATTTTCCGGTATTTCCGGAAAAAGAAGAAAAGAAGAAAAAAAAGAGAAGAAAAGAGGTGAGGAATTATTATTAAATATTCTTCGAGAATATTCTTAGAAAATAAAAAAAAAGAAAAAATTTTCTTTTAAAATATTGGCATTTAAAGTAAAAATTATTTTAAAATATTTAATTTTTTTTTGAGAGAGATAATTAAATATTTTAGAAAAAAATAATTATTTAAGTGCCAAAATGCGAGAAGATGAAAGATTAAGAAATTAAAAAGGAATTAAAAGATATATGTACATAAATAGAAAAATTTAGTTGAAAAAGATTTTAATAAAAAGTATTTAATTTAGAAAATTGGGAAATTTTATTAAATTAAAAGAAAATTAAATTTAAAATTTTAAAAAATTTAAAAGAAAATACAAAATTAAAAAAATGAACTAGAAACAATGACAGAAGAAAATACAATAAAAATACAAAGGGACACGCCCAAGTAGGCGCGCGGCCAAGTAGGCGCAAAGCCATAACTTGCTAGAAAATTTCTGACCATTAATCAATTTTAGTACCAATCTCTTTAGCTCGATGAGAGGAATCATTTAATACTAAATTTGTTAAGATTCAGAAATTTCTAATCAAGTTATGGCTTTGCGCCTACTTGGCCGCGCGCCTACTTGGGCTGTACCCAAATACAAAATATCAGAATAAAAAAAATCAGAATTTTTCTTTATAAAAGAGAGAAACAAACAACAAATACATATAAAATGTTAATTAAAAGCTTAAAAAATAAAAAATAAATTTTCCTAAAATAAACAGAATATTATATATAAAGTAAAAATACTACAAAAAAATCACCTGTCGCTCTCTGGCCGTTGTAGTTGTTTAATTTGTTGTTTAGTTTTTTGTTTATTATTTCTTTGTTTTGTAACTAATAAAAATAATACAAATCCAGTACAGCCAAAGATTATTAAAAATAATAATAAAATAAATATTATTGGCTGGCCAAAAAATGATTCGGTGACAGAAAGTTCTGAAAAAAAAGAAAAAAAATTTTTTATATTTAATTTTTAAATTTAATTTTGTTTTAGTAAAAGAAGGGGAAAAAGAGTTTAAGAATTAGTGGGTATTTTTAATGATTTTTTAACTAGAAATCTATAATTGGTTTACAAAATTTATAATTTGGTTAAGACCAGACCTGCCCATGGATACGGATATGGATACAGATAATATCAAAATGCCTGCAGATATCCGTCTGCATCCGCCGTAAATATGCGGATACGGATACCAAGATCAGTATCCGTGACCAGGTCTGGTTCATACTATAAAAAGAGGAATTTTATTGTTAAAAATTACAAGCTTAAATCAGATAATCTAAATGATGTAATCAATATATCAAACATTAAAGAAGTATGTAAATTTAACAAAAAAAAAAGAATAAATTTATGTAAATAGCATTTCTGTCAAAACAACCCAGAAAAAGCGTAGGAGTAAAGAAAAATGAAGAGGAAAGAAGAAAAATGAAAAAGGATTCCGAAATCCCCCAAAGGCTTGGAAGAGTAATTTAGTAAAATTCTTTTTATTTATTCCCCTTTTTCGGCTTTTTCTCGCTCTAAACTAAAAGCCCTCTTTTTTAAATGCTAAAATATAAAAAATAGCAGAAACAAAATAGCTATAAGGGTCTTTTTTATTTTTGTTTTTTTTCTTGAGAATTTTTTTAAAATATTTTTTTTCTCTCAACTAGCAAAAGAGAGAGAGAGAAGAGGCTATTATTCTTCTCTACAACGGAAGTGAAGTGAAAAAAGGCAATGTGCTGCTTGCCCAGTTTACTCCCTCCACCCCCCTCCCCTTCAGCGCCACGTATTTTTTACTGGAAAGCGCGGGAGAGAGAGAGAAGAAGAGGTTGGCTGGCAGAAGGAAAATGAGAAAATAAAAATACATATAAGGGAAGAGAGAATGTTAATATATAAAAAAGGTAAAAAAAGAAATTAGAGAAAAATGTATAGAATGGCTGGCAATAAAAAGTATATAAACAAACAAACACGCAAACAAGTTAGAGAAGAGGCGCAACCGGAAGTAGGCGTGGCTAACTGAATTAAAAGAAGAAAAGAGAGAAAGAGAAGGTTAAAATAGAAAAAGAGAAAGAAAAATTGAGAAAAAAATAAAGTAAATAGGGGCAATAAAAAAAGAGAAAAATTGACAAAAATGTATGGGGAAATTTAAAAGAAAAAGTAAAACAAACAAAGCCAAAAGACAAACATTTAAAAGAATGACGAAAATAGTTAAAGATTTTTGATTTTAATCGAGTAAAATTAAATATTTATAGAAATTAAATTAATTGTTTATACAGGGAAATAATAAATTGAAGAGGATTTCCTTTCTCTTCTATCCACAATACTTTAAAGACACGGATCTCTCGTTTGCAAGCATCCAAAATTTCATACACCCCGAGATTTACATTGACTTTTGACACCCCGAGAACCTATGTCCTTTGTTTCTTTTTTAAATTTTTAAGTTCTCATTTAAACATAAAATATATTGATGAAAGTTAAATGCTTTTTTAAAATATTTTCTTTTATTGTTCGATACCAGTGTTTGGTATTGGATATTTTGTGTCTATGACTCTCCAAACTGTTTTAAACCATGGCTCCTCCTGAGCCGGCCGGTCAATGTTGGCTCCGGGCTTCGGGTGGCAAATCAAAGAATAATATTTATTTCATAGACGGATTTTGAAGATTAAAAAGAGATAGGGATTTTGATTGAGCTTAATTCTGAGAAGAAATTAAAAAAAAATTTTCTTGACATTTTTAATTGTTTAAATAAATTTAAAAATTGGTGACATGTAAAATGGGACTTTTCTATTAAAGAATAAAAGGACTAAATTTAGACAAAAAAATAAATATTATTTAAGCAATTGAGTTAAATAAAATAGTGAATTGAATGTGAATAAAAAGAATTGAAGAGTGTTTGTAGGTAGGTGGTGGGTGTTTGGACGGAAATATAAAAATGACAAGTATATCAGAGAAAATAAGGGGGAGGAATATTTGTATGGGAGTAAAATTCTACAAAATGATAGTCGTGGGAATTAAATAGTGGGCCGGAAAAAAAAACAATTTGAAAAAACTGTCAATATAAAAGAAAAATGAGAAAATTCTTTATTTTTTAAAGATTTTCCGGAAATTTTTCCGGAAGCATTTCCTTTGTTTAGTTGAAAACATGTTATTTTCTTTTAAATTTTTAATGTAAAGGGAAAGAATTTCTTTAAAAATTCATTCCTGTCCTTTAAAGTATTTATTTTCACACAATTTTTATTCAAAATTTTCCCCAACCTCCCCCATTAATCGAATATTTATAATTTAATATTGTGTAAAAACCTGAAAGTTTAAAACAATTGAAAAAAGAATAAAAAATAAGAATAATGATGGAATAATGTATGCAAATTATTTTAGTTAAATTTTTTCGTAAAGTAAATAATTTTTATTTGAGAAAAAATTATATGTACATATTAAACAAAATTATTCAGTAAAAGTTATAAAATTAGCCCTAAGATTTATCCATAATAAAAATAATATTTGTGAATAACTCACTTTAATTTAAACAATAAAAGATTTTGGGAATTTTTATATTCCTAATTCAAACAATTAACTAAAATTAAAGTTTAGGACCATCGTCTATTTGATAATATGTAAATAACATAAAATAAATAAAATTTTCAGGAATTCTTTTATAAATTTAATTATTTTTAAATAAAATTTATTAAATTAATATAAAGCTAAATAAATATTTCTCTCATTCCCATAAAAATTATATACAAAAATTTAAATTAAAAACGGTGACGCATTTTAATTGGCACTTAAAAGATAAATATAAAAATATTACTAATATATTTAAATAATTGGGAAAATAAATATACCCAATTAAATTACATCATTCTACTCATTCCTATTTTTTCTACTCATTCCTATTTTTTCTACTCATTCCTATTTTTTCTACTCATTCCTATTTTTTCTACTCATTCCTATTTTTTCTACATTCCTATTTTTTCTACTCATTCCTATTTTTTCTACTATTCCTATTTTTTCTACTCATTCCTATTTTTTCTACTCATTCCTATTTTTTCTACTCCTTTCAAAACTAATCAATAAAAAAATAAAAATGACTCTCCCAAATAAAAATAGAAAACGTTCGTGTCAAGAGAAAACTGATTCAGATAATGACTCAGATTCTCGTTTGACTACGATTCGTAATAAATTGACATCAATTGGTATCTCTCCTTCGTCCCCTAATACTTCTGACCCTAATATCGATTTAATTTCTACCATCAATCTACTTGTAAATCTCGTAATTAAACAATCCGAACAAATTAATGCATTACAAACTACCATTACTAATATTGAAAAAAAGCTTCAAAATGAAAATCCTCCATTATCCCCTGATGATAAAGAAAAAGCACGATCGATAGTCATAGTCGGTCTTTCTGAATCTCAGGGTAATAATGATAGAGAGAATTTCATTGACGACACAAATAAAATAAATAAAATTATTGATTCTCTTGGAATTCCCACTAATCCCATAACAACTTATCGGATGGGGAAGCCTCGTAACGACGGGAAAGGTCGACCAATTAAAGTGGTGATGCCAACAACATACCACCAACGCCTTATCCTCTCTCGTTCTAAATCACTTCGTAATATTTCTGACTTCTCTGGCGTATATTTACGACCATCACAGACTAAAGAAGAGCGTCAGCATGACTATGAGTTACGTAAGGAATGTAGAGATAAAAATTCAAAATTAAATGTCGGCGAACCCCCTTGGAAAATTTTCAAGGGGAAAATCGTTCGCGCTTTTAACCAAGTTTCTTTAAACAAATAAATTACCCTGGACCACGTGTTAAAATTATTTACTTTAATGCAAGATCAATCAAAAACAAATTAAATGATTTACATTTTTTACTTGAATCCTATAAATATAACATAATCCTTATTACAGAAACTTGGTTAACTAACGATATTCCTGACTCATTATTGGTAAAAAATCTTCCTTACTCTATTTTTCGACATAATAGGAAGAGCAGAGGTGGTGGCGTAGCTATTATTATTTCCAACATATTTTCGGTCAATTTAATCAAATTTTCAAAAAAAACTTTAAAAAACATTGAGATTGTTTGCCTCGATATAATAAACGGTTTGGGACATAAAATGAGATTCATAAATGCTTATGTACCGCCAAAAACTACCGATATTATTCTTTTTGATCTTATTTCTATTCTAACTGATCTACTCTCAGTTTCATACCCTATAATTATTACCGGTGACTTTAATCTCCCCTCAATTAATTGGCTAGCTGATAATGATAGCAATAATATTTTCAAAGAATTTGTTAAAAATGCTGATTTACATCAGCTAATTACTTTTTCCACTAGATCAAAAAATATATTAGACCTTTTAATTACTAACAATCCTGGTTTAATAGATGACATTCTGTCCCTTCCGCCTATGTCTTCATCAGATCACTCCTCTTTTTCATTTTCCGTCACCTTTAAAAATGAACCATCTGAATTATACTATCGATTAAATTACTTAAAAGGAGACTACAATTCATTAAACTATGCTGTTGCTAATACGGACTGGAACAATATTTTTAAATCTATCTTTCCGCACAATTTAGATACAATATACTCTACTTTTACCCAGATTACAAAAAATTTTATTGAAAATTTCATTCCTATTACAAATTGTTCATCTCTTAATCTTCCAAATCATTTGCAAAAAATCGATACTTATCGTGCTCAACTCTGGAAGGATATACATAAAGCAGATATAAAATCTAAATTTCTTTACGTCAATAAAAGATTTAATAAAGAACTTAAAAAATACTTAATATACAGAGAAAATAAATTAATAAAAAGTAAAAATAGCAAAAGAATTTTCAATTATATTTCCTCACAAGTTAAGTCTAACTCCTTTAATATTCCTACCATACTTGACATTAAAACTAATAATGTTTTCTCTACCGATCTAGCTAAAGCAA